AAATTCTGATGATGGCGCGACAATGGTGTCTAGACAAGTGACAGCACCGAACCGAGGAAATGTCATAGCGACAGCTGTCAAATTCATATTGACAGCTGAGCAGTTGAATTTATTATGCTACCATTATGGTATGGCATGCTATACACATGGAAAAAATATTATCTTTGTTAAAGATTGAATAATAGTTCCTTTACGACAAGTTATAGGTTAGCAACAGTAGGTAGGTAAGCAAGCAACCGTTAACCAAAAAAGCCACAAATTTTAGTAACAAAACATTGTCATATTTTTTTTTACTTTAAACAATTTAATTGTATTAATGTTAATTCCACGTTATATTTTTTTCTTTTGTATAGGACTTTTTGAAGTTATACTTCTTTAGGCGCGTTATGAAAAATTGATGAGAGTGAAATTTTACGATGCGCGCGCACCGTGACACAAAATTAACAGAATGAAGTTGCCCACGGAAGATGCTACGGCATTGGACATAATTTAAAAACAACATTCGAATAATAATAGAATTTATGTTACACTTAATGTAAGATAATAATAATAAATATTTATTTATTTAATTTTTCAAATGTTAACTGAACTTTATTGACTATAATGACTCCTTTTCAGTCTTTGATTATTTAATTGTAATTAATTATTTGCATGCAATCAAAAACTATTTTTAATAATGCCAAAGAAGTATAACTTCTTACGCGCGTACATAAATACACGCACCTTTTTTTTTAATGTAAAAGAGTCATCAAAGACAATATTAAGTTCGTTTATGATTAGGACTACTAAACTGTTTGTTTACTTGAGTATAATATAACGAGTTAAACATAAACAGCCTGGAAGTTGAACTTTCTTTGGCCCTATGCCCATACATGTTTCGATTTAGGGCGTCACTTGCGGTACCATTGAATTTGGAGGTAACAGTACCCACCTACGCCCTTTTCTATCATCTAGTGTGGGTCTCTTTGTAGTGTCGCCTTCATTAGCGTATTGTTTATGATAGTAAAAGTAGCGCATTTCAACGGGAAAGCGGAGGTTTTTGACCAAATTCGGAACTCAAAATGAACCTTACAGATCTCGTAAATTGTTTTGTTTGAAATCAATTATATATTAATAACGGACCCGATAGACGTTGTACCTATATACACGTCGTAAATATTAAAATCTAATTGTAAATATAACCATTCCCAATTCCAAAAAATTAAAAATTTTATCATAATCGGTCCAACCGTTTAGGAGTTTAATTACAATTACACGCACAGAAGATTTATACATACATTGATTTTCAACGTTAAAATTTTTAATGAAATATCAAATTAAATTAATTTTATAAAACCATTTTTAATTACTATTACAAAAAACAATAACTAACCTTAAAATATATTATTAAAAGGAGTCCTATTATCAAATTTATCAGTTCATTATCGGATAAGCGCTGATCACATGCATTACGCACTCATAGAAATGTTGCCTTGACCTAAAGACTAATGGAAATGTTTAGTTAACTTTTATCTCGGGGTACAAAAAAAGTAGTGCTACAACCTTTGGGCTTTAGTCAAAAACCCTTCATCTTCTGAATTTGTTACGTGTTCATTTCCTAATAGGCAAGTAAAAGATCAGCAATCTGTGGTTTTCTCAAGATGTTTCCCTTCACCGTAGGAGCGAGTGTTATATGCTGATAGACAAAAAATTCATTCGTTCACAGCCCGGATTTAAACTTAGACGAGAGTCGAACGCTCAAGCCACAAGGCCTCTGATCTGAGCCAATCTTGGTAAATGTTTAGGCAATTATAATAATCGTAATCCTATAATATATTCATATAGTACCTACCTATAAACCTACTTAGTTCAAATAAACGATCGTCCTTCAATAAAAACACACCCAATACTGTATTCCATAAATTGTAGAGTAATTGTAAATGTCACTTTGTAAGCGGGTAGATTATAGGTAAATTATGCTTTATTGACTTGCTTTAGACGCTTTAGATATTGTTACTGTAGATTTATGTGTTTTGCCACTTGCAATATTGACGTATTCGATTACGGTGATATATAACGATAATAACATGGCATAAACAGTGCGAGACAATTGCGGATACGATAGACCTTTTCACACAAACATTCATTCCCACACGTGAATACATCCCCACACATGATTGCTAAATAATTTTGTTTAATTATTTCTCGTTTGTTTCACCTCGGAAGAGTCTAATCAACCCCCTAACACAAATATTTCTTAGTAGTCGTAATAATCCTACACTAGGATTCCAGTCCAGCGTTTCCAGTGTGCAGTGGCGTAACAATAGGGTGGCAGGGCTGGCAAAATGCCACGGGCCCCCTACCCAAGAGGGCCCTGCCCAAGAGATATTATGTTCTATGGATTAATGTGAACTCTCCAATACGCATTGGGCTAGCGTGGGGACTACATACCATTCCCTCTCGCCTAAGAGAGGTGGCCTATGGCCATTAGTGGGACATATACATTATACAACGTGTAATTGAGTACGCCGAAAATCTCGAATTTTATTAAAATTAAACTGAGTACAACGTCACAATTTTTACTGATAGGGCCCCATCAAAAGAATTTGCCACGGGCCCCAGATGGTATAGTTACGCCACTGGCAGTGTGTATAATTAAAAAATATACTAATTAAAACTCTATATATAGTAAAATGTTCCATTTGTTGTTTTCTAGCTGAAAAGGTAAACTAAGTGAAAATATCATATTAAGGCGAAAGGAACGGTTAAAATATAGTTTAATTTAAATCAGTAAAATTTATTTAAACCCAGTTCTAAATATAAATCAGTAAATTTCGTGTTAGTCACATAATAGTCATAGTATTTCTCTATGAAAAGCGAGACTGCACACATTAAACACTAAAAATAAATGTTATTAATAATTGCTCAAAGACCGAATAAAATAGATGTAAGCACCGATAGTACTTTGACAGTGACCTCTCTAACTTGACCCCAGCGATCGTTAGCCAAAAATGGCTAACAAGTGAAAAGGTGAGGGTCCCGAGACCCGTCGTGGGAACGACCAATTATATGCGGGTCACAGTTTATCATACGACAAAACTTATGTAGGGTGACCAATGTTACGACACCCAATAATAAAGCCAGTAGATAATAATTATTTATTAAGACTTCGACTCCTTCACAAAGATCCACTAACGAATTACAATTTAATGGAATGAGCGAAGTCCCATTGCTGCTTTTATTTTAAAGTTCTTGCTATCATAAAAAAATCACTTGATTCTATAATTAACGGAATTTAAAAAAAAAAACTGACTTAAAATTCTAGTCATCTAAAGAGGAAATGATGATATAATACATTTACCCAGAAACATATACTAAACAATTTTGTAAACTATCCTAAAAACACGAAACTTATACTCACCGAATATCTCGATCACGATCAACTAGCGGCGATTTACAAAGAATCAGCGCGATAGATCTACGCGGGCGCAAGATAATATGCATACAATTACTTTAGTTTATTTATTACATTCTAATGTACACAGTTGGACAGATATTTAATAGTTGTATTTCAAATATGTTTTTCTTTTTTTTGTGCGTAAGTAAATTTTTTTTATTAAAAGTTCTACCTTATATAAATAACTTTACTTATGTTAGGTTTAAGATATAGGTAATAGAGAGATAGATTTTATTTTTTTGCATGATTATGGAGGTAAACAAATTCACCATTAAGCGTATTCATATTATGATTTTTATTACACGATAAGACTATATAGTACGATAAATTCGACTCAGCTTGCAGCTGCGATGGTGGTGTAATGGTCAGCATAGTTGCCTTCCAAGCAGTTGATCCGGGTTCGATTCCCGGCCATCGCAGATATTTTTGCCTTTTTTATTTTTTTGTACCACTATTTAATGTTTATTTAATGCAAAACAAAATAAACAATACAACTTTTTCTGTACAATTTAGTTGACCTTAGTAGAGAACAGGTTTTGCGATAACAGCAATACGAGGTTTTGTTATGAACTAAAGCTAAACTAGGTTTCCTGGTTAGACAATAATTAAAATAATGTCATTATGTTTTTGTCTTTGGTTTTACTGTTTGGAATTATAATGTTTTAGTATTTAATAATAATAAATATATATAATAGTAAAATACACAATCATACAACTGGACAAACTATTTGGAACATAAACACTCCAGCAGTGTTATTTAAAAATAACCCTTACCATGAAAAAATCACAACGTACATATACAAACAGTAATTTAATAAACGTCTCCATATAACTGAATCACTCCCTAAATGGACATAATAACAGCCTCATTATCGAAATAACATCTCTGATTCGTCACATCACGCCAAAAAAGGTGTTAAAAGGTGCTGTTATCGAGTTCCAACTCATTCATCAAACTGACATTTCCGTAATTAATTTAAAATGCTGGACGTCCGACCTTGACGGGCGCCCCATGTAGAATGGCGCTTCAAGGACAGTGCAATGTACTCGCAAAATTGTTAATTGGCGGTAGGCTTATAATTCGGTTGTTAGATACGGCTGTATTCAAAGATGAATAAGTTGAGTTCTTTATTTTTATTAGAATATTTATATTAGTAAATAAAACGCTATCAAATATTCTGTACTGGAGATAATCGTTGATGTTGCCAACATTTATATTTTAGCTACTTAATTGTTTTGCCATTATGAAATCAATTTCACTTATGAGCTTATATACCTAGGCGTGTCGAATAACGTCAAGTCACGTCCTAGGTTTTATCGCAAATAATTTGTCTCCTGTCGAATAAAGCATTGATATAAATGGTTAACTAAATCGGCCATGAATCACGATCCGATCGGCTCCTGATTCTAGAATGGAACCCCGTGGGAACTGTTATGACATTTCTATGATTTACACTCATATTTGAGACTCGTTATATTGGTATGTACTTATTGTGTGACCAGTTGCTAGTCACCCATAAGTCTATCAATATAGAATATAGAATAAGAATTATCGAGAGTGACAATGAAGTTGAAGAAGTTGACAGTGAATCTGTGGAAGGTGCAACCTTCTGGGCTTTTTGAAGAACCTGTAAGATGTTCACCTTATTTAGCTAGAATCATCAGGAGTTGGCGGTCCGTGTAAACGAACAAGGACTTGAGTGCAAAGGGTATATTCGTTGAAAGAAACATAATGATGAAAATTTCTTAATTGGTACCTACTTTTATGATTTATCTCTGCATTTTTCTACTTTTATTACTTTATTATGATGAACATGCCTCTTGAGATAATGTATAATTATGCGCTGACAGTAAATTTCACTTGCAATGTTGTTTCTTTGTTTAATTAAAACATTTGTTACAAGGTCTTGATATGTCGCCAAGTTGATGGCTTCCTCATCAGAAGCCTTTCATTTAGCTATCTTGCCTTTATCTTCAGTAAAATTTTGAAATATATGTAAGCAGTTACCTACAATTGATAATTAAATTCCAGGGAAATAATGGGGAATGGAAATGAGCAGTGTTGGACTAGTGGCCTCAGCGTGCGACTCTCATACCTTAGGTCGTAGGTTCGATCCCCGGCTGTGCACCAATGGACTTTCTTTCTATGTGCGCATTTAACATTTAATCGAACGGCGAAGGAAAACATCGTGAGGAAGCCGACATGTCTTAGACCCAAAAAGTCGACGGCGTGTGTCAGGCACTGGAGGCTGATCACAGCTACTTGCCTGTTAGATTTAAAAATCATCATGAAACAGATACAGAAATCTGAGGCCAAGACCTAAAGAGGTTGTAGTGCCACTGATTCATTTATTAAAGAGAATGGAAAAAAATATGGTGCAAAGTATACAGAAATTCACTGTAAGTCCTTATAGGCGAGGCGAGTCGTGTAATCCCGCAGTGCGACATTCACAATTCTTCCGTGATTATCTTCCTTAATAAACCTTTCGTTGAAATCAGACCTAGAATCTCAGGATGAATCTCACTTATGCTATACCAAAGCCACAGATTCGGTATTATTTAACAATAAATAAGAAACTTTATATTACCTGATCAACTTGCTATTGCAAATCCAGGTAGGGCGCGCATTCAATTCCCACAGTCACTCTTTACGAAATCAAATCGTATTTATGACATCCTTCTTGCACCATTCCCCAGTAAAAAAAACAATTAAAACTGTGTAACAACCGTAAACAAACATAAAATAATAAATTGCGAATCATTAATATTATAATTAACGAGTGACGCCAAGTTTCATGATTTGCAATTAAAATGTGAACATGATTGTAATGACAATTAAAAAAAACTTGTATATAGTTACAATACATATTTATTTATTTAAACATAAAAGGTTTATATAATAATAAGTATTTTATTTGCAAAGCAAGTGCTACATTCAGATTAACTATTTATAAAAAAACCGCACAATCAGGCATATAAAAATATGCATGGAAATTTCATATTAATTATCATCAAATAATAATAAGAACAGTTAAGTTATTTATAATTGTTGTTAAAACTTATGGTCTAAGTAGGTACTCTCCCACTATAAAGGCACTTATTACATACTTACTCAGGGATCATAATTTTTAAGCCTTTAGACAGTTTGCGATTGAGTATCTAGATAATTGAGTAATGCATCTATCAAATGAAAAATGTTTTACAATCACAGATCGTATCGAGGACCTGATAGGCGAATACACTTAAGCTTATACACTCAGTATTGTTTATATATGTACCCAGCAACAAGTTGTATGTGTTAGGTAGATTGTTGAGTTTTTCCCTATGCGATATGGTACTAACTTAATCCACTGGCGCAGCAACCCAAAGTGAGCCTTATCCTCCGAAACTTAAAACGTCACCTTCTCCGATCACGCGCTACATGCCAATTGCGCACTAATTGTAGATCCTTTTAGACTCTCTTCCAGCGACACCTCGGCCTAGGGAGTTACAATTTTTAAACATTCTGACATATCTACTTCTTAACAATTATTCTTATTTTTAACTTTTAATTTTATTTAATTTACTATATTCATTACTTACACTGCTAGCTTTTACTAATATTATTGTTATTTTCTACTAAGTATTATTACATTCCTTTTCTTTCTTTTTTTGCGACTGTGGCGCAAACTAGCTGCTGTGGCCTCCGGCAGAATGACCAGCGCTGAGGAACATTCCGCTCCTCAGCATAATGCTGAGCCAGGGCCAATTACAGCCAAAGCACACACGCATTACACCCTTGAAACGAATGGGAATAGGGAAAAAAAAATTGTGATATCTGTCATTATATTTTTTATTTTATTCTTTTCTTTGATTATTGTTATTTTGTGTGTGTGTTTTTGTTAGTAATAAATCTGATATCTGAGTCTATATCTGATATTTTCCCATTCATAATCAGTTTCGGAGTCTTTGGGCTTTAGCTTTCATGTTGGGTTCGCCTATAAGGTCCTCGTTTACGATACGATAGTACTTACATAATAAGTTTCCATGAGTATTTATCTATAAAAATACTAAACAAAAAATAAACCTACTAAGCTATCGGGATAAATTCTAAATACCTAATAGATATTATTATGATAGTCATGCTTGGATAATTTATTGAAGTAACGAGTATTGATCGAATACAATAATTATAGCATATCGTTATGCGGCGCCGGCGCATGGCGCAACCGACAAACTGTTCTAATGAGTTGGAAAATATATAGAGTATGTCATATTAGTTAAAAAAATAGAGATTAAATTCGTTTTAAGTTTGTTATAATAGAATTAAGCACTAAAAATTGGAAAATTATTATTATTTTCTAGTTTTAATGGCTAAATTCTATTTTTGTGAATAATGTTACAGCGCATCTGTTTACGTGCAGAGTTAAGATTATTTTGTACAGATCTACGCGGACGTTTTAAACATCTTTAACAAAAAAATCACGTTTATGATTGTTTTTAAATATATATAGGTTACTCTCCCAGTAATTTTGGAGTTGCTCGGATTAATACCCGCAGCTGAGTTTCATCATCGGACGTCGAGGCAGAATACAAAATTCCACCCGTATCACCTCGACGTCCGTCGTTTCACAAATGAGCGTTTTTAAGGCAGTTTTTGCCGCGCACCACCTCTATCTGAAACCTGCTGCTCACTGAAGTATTTCCGAAACAATTCGACTTAGGGTCCTTCAAGAAAGGAGCGTATTAATTCTTAAAAGGCCAGCAACGCACTCGCCAACCCTGGCATTGAGGAAATCCATGGAGTGAGCCTCCTGCCAACAAAAAAATATATTCAGCGAGGAGCCGAAAGTTAAAGACTTCTTATATATATATTATATGATATAACTATCTTTTTCTATCTTACTCACGTCAAACAAAAACATATTAGATACTTTGTTAAACTCATGGTACAGATGTGGTGCGAAGTCGGAGCATGTCATTAGTTGTCTAATAAAAATATGACTGAATAATGAATATAAAAACGCTTAGTACATTACAATAACTTGCCATTACAAGTCTATTCACGCCTTGCCCACTGCTATTAAATACTTTAGTAATAGCAGGTGCTTTTAAATTGGTCTGGTTTGCGTAATATATGCTAGATAAATAAATGTTTATACGAGTATATATGAATAATTACTAAGGATTTTATAATAAGAATTAGCTGCGCCTTTTCACCCGCGCTGCTTAAAATACCTATGTAATCACTTAGCGGCAAGCTTACGGAAATTTCTCATACCTACCAAATATACACCAATAAATATATATATTTTACAATTTACATCATGCATGATACACTGATATATTATATCAGGTTTTTAATTTATTGAGGGGTCCAAAGTCATGCGCTTCTTTATTATTACTACATACAAGTCGTAAAGAACGATAGAAAAAAATTTGGATCAGACCAAAGATAATCTAACAACATATTACCAACTTTATAAATGTTTAATTGTTTTTTTAAAAATCGGTCATAGTTTCTATGGTTACAATGGCAATATAAATAGGTTGAAATTTAATTTAGGAACAAAATGTATTATAAAAAACTCATATGTGTCATCATCATCGCCATCCCGTGTCGCAACAACCCTTTATAGCTCTTGGCCTCCTTCATAATAATCCTCCACTGGGTTCAATCCTAGGGGACTCTTTTCCAGTTCATTTACTTTCCCATCACACTTATGTCCTCTTCGGTGCAATCTTTCCATCTCTTTTTGAGCCTGACTGTTGGCCCTTTCTGCTGTGGCGTCCACTGTCATAGTCATAGTTTTTGTTGCACTGGAGTAAACCACACATTACACAATCTAAGCTAAAGGTTTTTGTTAACATGCATCTGTTAGAGATCCAGGAGTATCATGCCTTTTTAATCTTAAACTCAAAATGACTTTATTCATATAGGTAACCAAGTACACCTATAAACGTCAACAGAAAAGATGTTAAATTGATTCTAAATTTACATTTACTACCAGTTCGCAAGTCAAGGGCGTAGAGCGGGCAAGAAGAACTGCCAAGAACTCTCCGTTACGCATTTTTTCGCTAAGTTTTTAAAAACCTTATAAGGAGTATTTATGTGATTTACTAAGTTACACTAAGTAATAATTTAAAAACTACTATTATATTTATTTAATTTGCTACTATTATATTTAGGTAATTAGTGCATTTACGGCACTTTATTATAGTAATGAGGTTTACCTTCTCACCTCAGTAATTAAGTGCCATTACCGCAAGTGACCGGATTCTTAAAACTAAAACCCTGAAAAATTATTTCCTTTACGCGAGTTTCCGTTTTCTGTACTGTAAAAATCCTAAAAAGAATTTTATTTGTGTTTCTTAAAATATATCAATGTATTATTTTATTATGGGTGAATGTAATTTTCTGAGCGCGCGTATCTTACTGGCTTTGGCGTTTGAACCCCGACTGTGCTTTCTATATGCGCAATTCTTTGTACGGTTATGTCTCCATCTAAAGCCCGAGTTTTCTTGGGTTAGATCCAAACTTATAAATAAATGCATAATGCGTAATGGGTCTCTATTGTCTAAATCATTAACATTTGGCTTAATTATTTATAAGATTTTTTCGTTTATTTAAAGCAAAGCAACATAGCAGTGATAATGACCATTTTCTTATATATTATTGAAACCTAGTAACATTTATGAATACGTCAATCGGCATATGACAGATAACGTAAAAGGCGGTTAACGGACTTTGACAGTTGACAGATCAATAGTAGCATTAAAATGTTTGCTTACTCATAACACTATGCCCCTATAAAGGATTAATAACAGTAATGCTGGCAGCCTAATAAAGTATGACATGAAAACAAAAGGTTATATGAACAATAAGAGTCCTTGTATGAAATATGAAATGCACAGACATAAATACATATGTCATAACTGTAATTACATAAAATTATAAAGTTGAACATTAATTTTAACAACGCATCAATTATAGTAATGAATGTTTCCCTTTGTAAATATAAGATCGAATGATAATAGTTTATCCACTTGGTTCTTGTCTCGTTGTAAAAATATTTTTGAAGTTATACTTCATTTGGCGCGTTAGGGAAAAATGATGAGAGTAAATTTTTACGATGCGCGACAAATAACCGACACCCTGAAGTTAGCTATAGTCAACATTTTAGTTTTTTCAACACAACTTTTTTTTATTACTTTTGATTAGTAATTTTTCAGTTATAGTTAGCTCGCATATAATTGATATAAGATTGTAAAGTGGGAAAATTTTTATTCCCATAAATTTATATTGTATTATAAGTGTGTGTGTAACGCATACTTCACAATAATTATTATTAGTAATGCACACGTCGTTAAACTGAGTTCATTCCTAGAGAAATAATATTAAAAGTTGTTCATCTACTCGAACATCTACAATCTATAAACTGTGTCTGCCCTATGTATTACGGGATTTCAAAAATAAACGTTATACACAGTAGCACGATCTTTTTATACGTACAAAGTGGAAACATTCTGTTTTAAGCAAATAATACGATCGGGAACGTATCAGAAGTATAAATATAAAACCTGACCAAAATTATCAAGGTTCGGAGGTGCAACTTCATTTGTTAACATTGTGCCTCCAACATTGTTCATTATTTGTTTTTTACATAATACTTGACGAAAATATACTCAAAGACATAATTCAAGAAGTAATATTAAATTAAAACTAATACAAAAACATGGTCCCTACGCCACACTGTAGAGCTCCCCCGCTTAATAGTAATAGCGTGGGGTCTATGGACAGCCGTATCCAGTCTTTAATTAAGAATTAACATTTAATTACTACATTGTCTCTGCACAAAGTCTTCATTAAACATTACAATCTAGCCTAACTTAAGCCTAATGAGTAATTTAAAACTAACCTAATTTACTAAAAAGGCTATTATTATAACCTAAGAAAGTGACAATACATACTTACAGTCTCTATTGAGGGACACTCTGTTGTTCTGTTCTTTTTCTCCACTTACCACTGTTTAGCACTTAAGACTACCGTACACTCACACTAATTCACTTATTCGAATGGTTTTGTACTTTTCAAACTTCTCACTAGACCCGTGGTGTCAAGAATTGACGAGCAAACTCGTTGAATCTGTCGCTAACTAATCGCACGAAATGTTTTGCATTGTATTTTAGATATTACTAGCTGACCTGGCAAACGTCGTTTTGCCATGTATATTATTATTATTTCTAGGAAACATTTTTTTAGTTCAATAAAAATAACTATCTACTATAATAAAAAATAGGGGTTGATCGTAGTGGGTTGTTAATTATGTATGTATTTTTGTATGCTGTATCATAAAAAAATAAAAACAAAAAGTTTTTTTGAGTGGACACCCCTTATCACTTAGGGGTTTTAAAGATAGATAATAGCCGATCTCAGACTTACTGAATATGCATAAAAATTTCATAAGAATCGGTCGAGCCGTGTCGGAGGAGGAAGGGAACGAACATTGTGACACAATAATTTTTTTAAATATTAGATATTCGCTGGCTTACGAGATGTATGATTATAAATTCGCATAGTTAAATCATTTTCCCTGCGTAAAGCTCTTTCATTATGCTCTCTCTTAATTATTATTTACATCTTATATCTCTTTTTTTTAAGGTTTGTTGTGATAAAGGTATTAAAAAAGTAAACAATTTCGTGTATTGCTCAAAATACTGGCCCTTTTCTGATAATAATCATGTAAAATTACTTAATGTGCTTATTACACGCTTCGCGGACGTTATTTGGCTACTGGTTTTTAATGTTAAGGCTGATTTAAATAAATACTTGCGTTTGGTATATTCGAAATTCAGTTCAGTGGCATTTCGATATTTTTATATTCATAACGAGGACACAAAACCAGAGTTCATCTGCAAGTAGTCAACGTTTGTGCATAACAAAATCTTTTCCAAAATCAAATCATTTTTCTCTCATTTCGTTATAAATAATATACACAGAGCAGATTAAAATTTCATATGATTGCCATTTTCGCAAATTATTTATATGTAGAACCTTCATTGAATCAACAGATATTAAAACAACTAGATTTATTAAGAAATCTTCAGAATCTATAAACAATATTTGATAAGAGAAAACATATTGAAAGTTATTGCAACACACGATTTCTTCTCACTAAATATAACATGTTAACATGTGTAACCACTCCCTCCATTCATATAAGTGTATTTTTATTTATACAACATTAATGAGTTGAATGCTGTATTTGATTTCAAAGTTAGATATTACAGAAATGGTACTTTGTCCAAATTGGGCGTGCGTTTCTACCATAATACGACATGTATAGAAAGTGCTAAAAAACTTCGTTAGCTAGCTTCGTCAGATATGGCAACAAATTGGTTTGGCTCGGCGCCTGCGCTCTCGATTTAAATTGACAGCGCAGAAATTGTCTGTGCAAATATGGCGCTAATATTGTTATTGACATTTGCTAGAAGAAAGTGCGAATTATTTAAGATGATTAGTCATCAAATTTATTAACACCAAGAGTCAAAGAGACGTTTTAATTTTTTGTGTTGATATTGTACACTTTTCATATACACACTATGTTTATTGTGTACACAAATTTTTAAATAGATTATAAAATCTTAACGGGTTTGTTAATAAATATTGTACGTAACTTAAATCCACTTGTTAAGTTACCATCAAATTCACAAAGTACCAGTGCCAATAATAATCAAAAATATTTCTTTACAGCACGCGAATGCCGTCCGTGAATCAGCAAAGCAGATTTTGGAATCCCTCAACACTGACACAGAAGAAGCTATAACCTTGGCCAGAGCCCTTCGAGCCCGGCCACCAGTTAATATGCTCCCAGCCGCTAAAGCGGGAACCTTTTTTGCCCGAGACAATCTGTCAAACTTTATCGACTGGTGCAGAAGAGCACTAGGTATCCTAGAATGTCTCTTATTTGAGACTGACGATTTGTGCCTAAGGAAAAATGAGAAACACGTGGTTCTTTGTCTCTTGGAGGTTGCTAGAAAAGGAGCTGTCCTCGGTATGCCAGCACCCTTGCTGGTTCAAATGGAGAAGCAGATTGAAAGGGAGTTAGCTGGAGAAGAGTTAAGGCCAGATGACTCGGCACTGGGACTGGTTCCGTCTGGTCCGCAACCGCAGTTGGTGACTAATGACTTGAGAAGTCTGGATGAGAGGGTCAGGGACTTGGTAGAAAGGTGCTCCTGTCCCACACAGTTCCCAATGGTGAGGGTTTCTGAGGGAAAATACAGGATTGGGGACACAAAGCTGCTGATTTTTGTTCGGGTAAGTTGTTTTGATATATATATATAATACTTTACGACGATATTTTTTTAACTAAACAAAGTTTTTTGTTAAATTGTAACGATTGTAGAATAAACGAAAGAATATTATGTTAACACATTAAAATGCCGCTCTTATATTTATTGAATATGTATGTAATACAATATATCATAGAAATATGTAATATATCATAGTGCTATATATAAATAGAAAGAGTCTCTGTATAATTAACATATACTTGAAATAAAAACAAAAACACAATTATTTAGAATCAGCATAGGCTTTGTATCCAAATCTTGAAGAGAAGTAAAGTTGTGTTGATTTGATTAATGACTATATCACAAAAAAGGAAATCCGATACAAACCATACGAATAGTTTGGGTTCTGTCACTCCATGTTTGACACAAGGTCAAGGTAGTGTTCAGAATCAAGCAAACCGCTTTCGTGAGCTATATGACCTCTGCACAGGTCCTAGAAAAACTCCTTGAAAACTTAACGATATTCAATTTCTGAATGTAGTCCTAGTGTTTTAAACAATATAAGAAATAAATAATAGTAGTAAGTACAAGAAATCGTTCTTTATGTTTTTCACTTATTGTGAAATATGTCAACGAAATAATAACTTCTACAAAAACACTTTTTAACCGTATCCTATCCTGCTCAATCGTGACTTCTATAATTCACGTATTTTCTTATTCTTTTGTATTGAATTGTAATTCATGATATGAATTCTATAAATTTTCAGTGCTACTTGTTATTTTAATTTGATTTGATTTTTGTTTTTGTTTTATCTTACTTATGTAACCTGGAAGAGATCGCTTGTTAGCGATAAGGTTGCCTTTTGCATCTCTAATAATTTATATTGTTTTTTTTATTTTAATGTAATGAAGTTTTAATAAATAAATAAAAAACATATCCATAAATCCGTCCAAATGTATATGTGAATGTATTATAAGTAAGTAGTTTTATTAAGAGATTGTTAATACCAACTTGCGTCGTCTAAAAACTCGAATCTAGACAATGACTTTCAAGCGCTATTGAGCTTCGAGAGAACCTCAAAGGATTCCCAAGAGGAGATGACTTGAAAAAATTTCTTAGCTCTTGCACTTAACGGTCCGTTGAAAAATCTATGACTAGCAAATTTCTCTTCATTCATTCAAAACCCTACAAGCTTTAATTAGTATCAAAAATTTCATTGCATAAAAAAAAGTTTTTTAGACGTGTTAAGAATTATAGTATGAGGCTGACACAAGCTTCTTTATTCACTGTGTACATACTCTTGACCACCCAAGCTCCTTGATAAAGAAAGCTTGTGGTGTTTTTGTTATAAGATATCAACCCTAAATGACATACGGACAGGCAATAAATCACTTTTTACTGATAAATAGCATCTAACGTGTCTGGAGGTGAGCAGGAAGTGTTGGTAGTAATTAATTGCAATTCGCATGTATTAAGCATTCAATTTAATGACAGTAACCGTACACAGGGTATAAACAATGTTTGATTTGTATTAAATTTAAAATGTTTTGCTAATACTACTTTGGTCTTGGCATATTTGGTCTTAAGCAAGGTTCAGAATCGAGACTTACCGCGAACTATGACACCCGTAAGTCAAAATTCAATACAGGAATAAATTAATATGCGTTAAGTTTCAACTTAGTGTAAAAAGCAATAGGTACTCGACTCAAACCTCACCAATATACTCTTCATAGGTACATTATAATGTTGTCAATATATCAGTGTTGCATAAAGTATTATAACATTATCTCTTAACGGCGAAATGGTGGTATAAATCTCGCTACACAATACCTTATATTTACATCATAAAATTATCAAACGTTCCAAAAATAGCATGTGTCAAGATACACTGGACAAAGGTCAACCAAACGTGCATTTCATATGACCGTATACGGATACGACCAGTCCATGATTCATCGCAGGCGCACAAAATAGATCTATAGATCCATTAATGGATTAAAATCATTTATAGCCACGTGGTAGTAATTACCGTCAAGTGTTTCCGGGGCCTTTTATGGTGTTAACATATGGTTTTTGAAATTGTGACCTTATTGCACAAGATCAAGACAATTGTACTAGTAAAAATATGAATTTGCTGATAAGTTATGAGATAGCACAGTTCTGCTTGTTTCTTGTTTTACCTATTGAATTGGTGTTAATATTTTTACTCGTAAGACGAGGCGAAATAATTAATATTTTGAAACATTGCTAAAATAAATACTCTCTCTTCCAGATTTTACGTTCGCATGTTATGGTTCGAGTTGGTGGTGGCTGGGACACATTGGCACACTACTTGGATAAACATGATCCATGCCGTTGCAAGGCACAACACAGAACATCACTCTCAGCTCGGCTTGCGAGACCTAAGCAGGACCTCGCTGGCGCTACAGTTACCTACGAAAGACCAGACTTCAAAGCCTACGAACCCGTTTCCATGCCATATCAATCCAAGCTCTACAACGACGAGCCAAGGAGCCTCCAGTATCAATCCAATTACAAACTAGATGCCCCGACCAGTCTACCATATTTTGGAGATATAGATAGGGGTGCCAGCCCTAGCAGAAAGCATTTAGCACCACGAACACACAGTCCTAGCAGATGCTCTTCATCTCCGGATCGAAGGACCAAAATTGTGACGACCAATCACCTGGTACCAACACCTTTGGGGGTACGAAATAAGAGTCCAAGACCTGTTTCTCCCGCTCCAGCAGTTGAGAGTGCATCCGATAATGGTTCAGAAGTGTCCGATGAAGGGTACAGGAGTTTGGGAGTGGTGGCTGGTTCCACCCAGGGATCGCCGTCTACGAAGACAACGAATAGATATTCGCTTCACAGCCAGACATCAATGGAAGACGCTGATTTTAGCGGTAAGCTTATATAGTTATTAAATAAAAAGCTTAGATAGTTTAATATATTCACCAAATCAACACTTAATACTCAACAAATTGAATTGGTGAACGGATTATGTAAGTCACAAAATACAAATTAGCTAGTTGATATAAATGAGGGTTCGCTATAAAATGAGAAATTTATTATTAATATATATTTATTCACAGTTAAGTACAGTAATAACAAAGCATAAAATATGTCAAGATAATGAGTTAGACATGTTTCACGACTATCTGTTTAGCGGATAATGAGCAGAAATTACAGTTAGTGTGACCGGTGTAGTAGAGGTATTTCGTGAAAAGACAGGGAAACTGCAAGTAAACAAACGCTGTAACACTATTGTTTAAAGAGCGCTGTCTAAAAGATAAACTTAAGCGAGAACTACTATTAATAAATAACTTAAAGGACCGAACTGATCGTAACAGTAAAGTGTGTGCATTTTTATAATTTGATAAAGTCTACAATAATTAAGGGCCTCATAGCCTTGCGGTCTTATAAGTGGCAGCTAGGTGAGGGGTACCGGGTTCGATTCCCGGTTCGAGGGCAAGTTTTAATTGAACTTACATTTGTTCTTGGCCTTTGGGAGGGTTGTGCGGTACCGGGCGAGTGCTTAAACCGTACATGGTGGACATGATCGAATTTCTAAGGCAAGCACGAATTATAAAAAAAAATCTTATAGTTGACGCTGGCTAATGTACAAACCGTGCCAGAGCCATGAAAAAAAGTCTACAATCTCGTTTGAAATTAAATTGTTTAAAGAAATTCTCAAGCTGAAAGTCATTCGACCGTGAATATTGTTACATTATATGTATACACAAATTTAATTAAGAATACATAGTTTTAGATGTTTCAATCGCTTTCGCCTTTATTTTAGTTCCATGCAGAAGATATTTGCGCAATGCGCGCGCGCCGACGACACGCGTCGTTCCGTTAAATTGGCTCCGGACTAAATTACATCCCTCTTTCAGGGTTGTCAAATTCAATTAAACTAATAACGTATAAAAGAGCTGCTATTACTAAAATTTGTTGATTTGGAGGTTAAAGAAATATAACATAATTGCTGTAGAGAAAGGAAGTGCTTAGGAATTCATAGTCAACATTTGGTTAATCACTTTAGCCTTTGCTTTATACCGTTAAGCCGTTAATCTGGAAAACATAACAAAGAATCTCAGTTAGGTTTTTTTTTTTATTATGCTTATGATTATGCAATATTTAACTTAAATTAGGCTTAAATTTATATTAAAATATTTTATCATCTCGACATCCATTATTCCACAACGTTCACGTTGTTCCACGTTTCCCGCGCACCACCACTATGTGGAACTAGCTGAAGTATTGAAGTATTTCCGAACCAATTCGGCTTAGGGTCCTTTAAGATAAGAGCGTATTAATCTTTTCCTCTGGTCATGAAAGTGTCCATGGACGGGCGGTATCACTTAACAAAAAAAAAATCTAAAAAAAATTATAAGTTTCGAAGCTTTTCATGTAAATTAAACTTAGATATAATTTCGCTAAGAAATATGCCCAAATATCACAACATCGCGTACGTATCTACAGCCCGATTTTCTTTAGCCACCAGCCCTAACGGCCGTGTCATTACAACTATCTAGTTACGCTCATATTTATGCTATTTGCTCAATGTTTTAGTAAATTATACTCCGCAAGGTATTGTTATAACAATATTTGTTCGCTGCGTTAATAAAATAGTATAGTTACTGCCTATTGTTGAAAGATAATCATCAATAGATCAGGTAATGATTGTGGTATTAAGATCCCTATTAATATTTCATTGGACATTTATATATTCGTTATTATTTTATGAGGTCTTTGTTAAATTGGCTAGATTTTGTCTGTGAACATCACGAGATTTTGTGTATTTCAAAATCTTTGAAACTTGTAAACCTTAGCTATTGGCGTAAAGACTTCCTACATTTTGCAAGGCATTTAAATTGTATTGTTTTTATTAATGATGAGTCTCACGCTCTCAATGGGCAGTTAATCTGTTTTATTTATTTATTTAAAAATCCTTGTGTTTGAATATGTACTTTTAAATCAATTTAGAGTCTAAATCTTAGCCGCTTCGAAGTCCTATCGTATGGTTACGTGAATTTTTTTTGCAATTGCTACGAGACCTTATAAACTCTTGATTTTTTAGTTATTCTGCTTAAGCGAAGTAGGGTGCAACGGGTTGTGCATTATAAGCGCTGAGTCAGCGGTGTGGTATGCATTTCACTCCACACCTGCGCGGTGGGAATTTTTTCTAAGTAACGTTAGGTGTTATAATTAGTGCAAATATATATTTTAAGTATATTTTTCGTGTATCTACATTACTATTAGTGCAGTAACGAAGATTTAAGTTCATAGTGTATTGAGAAAATTGTCCTACTATTCTTTGGAGTGAGTGTGGCATATAAGTATATATAGGGATTTCAGTAGGGATAGAGGTTCAAAGCATTTAACGATGTTAAGTCAAATAAGTCTGACTAGTATTATAAAAATGTTTACGTTTTACGGTACGATGCGAATTGATCAGTAATTTTTGATGTTTTTTTTTTATCTGAAAATAATGTATGCCTGGCTCGTGTCTGGCGTTGTTGCAATTTTCCTAATGTCTGCAAATCTAATATGTATATAAAATTCTCGTGTCAGAATGTTAGTTTGGACGGCTCATCGGTCTAGTGGTTAGTACCACTGACTGCGAATTCATGGGACCCGAGTTCGATCCCCGGCTGAGACAAACATCGATGTGATGCGCATTTGGTGTTGTGCTTAGGTCTTGGGTGTTTAAATATGTATTTATATGTCTATCTATCTATAATATGTATCTATATCCGTTGCCTAGTACCCATAACACAAGCTTCACCAGCTTAGCATGGGACTAGGTCAATTGTTGTGAATTGTCCAATCATATTATATTATATTATTATTACTCCTCCGAAACGGCTCGACCGATTCTTATGAATTTTTTAATGGATGAATCAGTAAGTCTGAGCATCGGACAGCATCTATTTTTCATCCCCCTAAATGTTAAGGATGGTCCCACCCCTAAATTTTTGTTTTTATTTTTTAGACAAATACAGCATTCCAAATTACATACGACCCTTAATTTTTACCCCTCTACTATCAATCCCAATTTTTATTATACATAGTTATATTTATTAAACTAAAAACAGTTTCCTAGAAATAATATACATGGCAAAACGACGATTGCCCGGTCAGCTAGTAGGTACTTATATATTCTTGAGGACACGTTATTTTATTTTTTTGATAATTTATTACAAAGTCATTTAGATTATGAATTTATTATAATTTATGACGCATGTGGCTATACATCGGTTGCATATAAATGGGATCCCAAAGTGATCCGCTGACGACAGCCATTCAGGGGTCAGTAACAATCAGACTACCATACAGAGAGTAATTTGCGTACATAATTCTCTTGAATTGGTTGGATCACTTGATGTCATTCATATTATGATTGAGTGCACTTGCTAATACTGTCAGAAGCACTTTTAATTTCTTGTTTTGAGTTTAATATACAACTAGCTGCCCCCTTTTAGTAAGCTTACCTTTTTTGTAGCTACAAACCAACATATTGAAGATTTTGCTATGCTACTGGATAAGGACTGTTCGCTTTTCCGGAATAAAATAATGTTTAATTCCAATTAAAAGTCCTCCATCCTTAGAGTTGAAGGAAATAAAAATACTCGAATTGGTTAGCCGTCTTCGAGATTTGTGCTTAGCAATATTTTGCGATTCATTTTTGTGTCACACTAATGATATTTAATGATACCTTCTACTGCCTCGAAAAAAAATCTCACACTGTCCCGTCCAGACAATATATAAAAAAAAATATTTTTATATGCATATAAAACTAAATTCACATAATTTTGTATTGTATGTAAATAAACTAATTAATAGTATGGGATGTATGATGAAGTACTTCCGAACCAATTCAAGAAAAGAGCGTACCGATTCTTGAAAGGCCGGCAACGCATTTGCGAGCCTCAGATGAGTCTCCTGTCCGTTTGCCTCCTACATAAAAAAGAAAACATTCAGTTCTCTAGTTATATCAACAAAAAACGAGAATTTCTATTATAGTTTTTGTGCATTTTGAGTTATACAATTTTTATCTTACTTACGCAAATTAAGTACTTGATTATCACGTTGATTCCGATATACTCCTTTGCCAGTCGGCTCTAACAAAACCCTATTGCATAACAATTCGATTCAACAATTGCGCTTCCTTATAAGCATTTGAAATTGCATACAAAGTTGCATCTGCCAGGTATGGTGAGTATTCGTGAGTCGTGGCTGCCCTAGGGTCACATATTTGGTCAATTTATATGACTAGTTCCCGTGCTTTCCCTTGCTATATAGATGCTGTTACCCGCGACTATGTCTGCGATAACATAAACAATGTTCTCACTATTGGGGCAGGTCTTTGATTTTCTTATTTGGTGATTACGTCAACAGTCATTATTTTTTACACATATTTCAAGCATATACAATGTGTGGGTTCACATTGTCTATGCTTGAAAGCGAAATGTATTTTCGAGGATTCCTACAAAAAAAATATGTTTGGGTATTATTATGTTTAAGAGCTTTGCTTACTTTGCTGACAAGAGGAAGGGGGGATAAATTACGTAATACATGAACGGCCCCTGAGTCTAGAATAGTAAATTCCTATTTAACATAAACGCGAGAACCTTTTAGGTCTGGGCCTCAGATTTGTGTATTTGTGTTTCTTATATGCAAGTAGGTAAGTGCCTTCTGTGACTTCGGAGGCACGCCGGTTTTCTCACGATTTATTTCATATGAGCGAGTGGTAAATGCGCACGTTGACAGAAAGTCACAGTCGGTATTCAAACCTACGACCTCAGGTAATCTGTCGCTAATATTTGTCCATTATTATAGTTAAATATTATTTATATATTAGATTTTTTATTAAAGTATATCCGGGATATAACACTATATATGTAATAACTTTAAAGTCCTTGAAGTGCGCACGGCACCATGTTACAGCTAAGTCACGGTCGACGGTTATGGCAATATAAAATATGGTGAATCAGGAAACCTGTCGTATTAACACGGTAACATAACTCTTTATGTCCTTATATACGTTTGATTTATAAAACTATGATTATCTCAATATTATATATAGGATTTGCTAGTTGAGTTTATATTTTTTGACATTCATAGGTAGTGTACATTGTGTTAACTTAATGAATAAATGATTTTGATTTGATTTGATATAATTTAATATAGAATTTCATAAGAAAATAAAGCCAACCGCTATGCAGAGATAAATCGAATTCAAATTTCGGTACTAGAAAAAACAAGTTCTTTGGAAATATTAAAAATTTTATAAGTACAATTTAAAATTGATACATTACGCTGATATAAAACATACAACAAACACATAATTCTCATTCTGAATCAAGATGTTATTTTTTTAGACGCAAATTACAAAATATTTGCAAACAGGTAGCTATTCTTAATAAGTAGTAATCATTATCTCCAAATGGTATTGCCATATACAACAAAACGTGACGGTTCCACCGACTTTAGGGCATTATGGCCGCTTAATGGCTCATAAACTTGATAACATTTGAAATAGGCCTGCTATTAGTTTGTTCACTTTTATCAATTGATATATTGTAGCAATGAAACCTGTCGAGTCGCATATTTGTGATTGAAATACACATTTGCTCAAATGGTATAAATAGATACAGATAATTTGTTTAAAACATTTTGATTAAAAGCATTTTAGATTTTGGACTGTAACAAGAATTTGTCTCCTTTTTCAGAGCGTCTCGACCATGACGACGGCTGCCATATCGATAAGACTGAGCGTGTCGACGACTACGTGAGTCTGACCACTGGCCTCCGCAAGACTGATTTCTCTGACACCTTCTACGGAGGCAGGAAGGCTAACTCAGAAGACAAGTCCAATCGTGCTAGCCCCGAATGCATCGTTATTCACGAAAATAACGATTCCCCAAGCAAAAGCCTTCGACCAACTAGAGAGTTATCCGAATCGCCAACGAAAACTATTCGAAATCGACAAGTCAGCAGAATCCCTCACTCCCCCGTTAGAAACAGGACTCCTAGCAGAGGAAACACACCCAGCCCAAAACACACCCCTGTACAATCGTCCCCAAAACTCACCCCGAAGCTGCCACCTACATCCAGAAACACGTGGGGCGGCAGGACCGCTCCAAACCAGGCTAAGACAAAATCGCGACCTACTATCGGTACTGACACATTTGACAATCCAAATAAGTCTCCAAAACTTAAGCCAAAAGTCCAAAATGAGGCGTTTAAACGAAATTCCCCTTTAAGGGCCAGCAGCGCCACCTTACGGTCTCCACCTCAGAAACCGTTAAGCCCTCTATTAGAGCAAATATTCCGGTCAGCGGAGAGCGCAAAAGATGATGCGTCAGTTTTAGAAAAAATGAAGGAAATCATTAGGACATATTCGAAAGGAGAAGATTCTCTGTCTAGGACAAGTTCAAAAGACTCGGATTATGCGGATTTTACGTCGGCATGGGTGATGTCTGACGGGAAGCTGGAAAGATCTACCAGCACCAGGCAGCTGGCTGCCCCCAGAAAGGACCGTGGATCTGGTGCTTCCAGAATTCCAGCGCCCGTAGCTATTGGTTGTCGGCGGTCTACGTCGACCACACAGTTCCAGTGACCGATTAAGACTGAAAACAGTTTTAGTGAACAGTGAATTTGCTTTTATAGAGTTTATTGTAAAGCCGGTTGACAAATGTTTACATTGTAATAATATTGAAACAAAAAAAAACAGAAATTAAGAAAAAAGTTTCTTGTTGGTAATCCCGGCTGTATGTAAACGATATATCACTACCATATCTATAAAGATAAGTAGTTTATTCGAATTTAAGTCTAACAATGTACTAATTATTCAATAAAGAAAATTTGTACTAACAATGACAGCTCACACGCACTTATTTTGTGACAGTGACATTAGTGTCACGAACAGATACGTGTTTTTAATTTTGACGCAATGACAAAGAAAATATTAGATGGTGCTAATTTTAGCTTATTATAGTTACTTTAATTTTGTACGTGTTTATTTAAGTTGCTGACGTTGGTATGGTTCAATATTTTAATATTAGAACATAACAATGTTTTTATATGTAGTATTAATTATAAGCAGCCCGGCTCAATTATAATTCAATTGGCTCAAAAACCTTTTGCATTTAGAAAATCATTCCAACAATGCTGGGTATTTGGCAATTTACTTTTCAGTAATCTCATTTATTCCTGAATCCTGAATAAGATAGAGAGCTAATGATTTCGTAGAAAGAGTCAAATTACCGATTACCTAAATCAATGACAACTAATTATTATTGATCATTAATTAGTTGTGATAATTATAATAGTTTGTCTAAATAAATTTGACACAATAGCTTAGGACGTTATGGTTTTATGTCGTCAATCTGTCAAATTGGAAATGACATGAGATATTATATTTTGTCAAATTGACGACAAAATTCGTATGACATAAGAAAGGGTCGATTTCGTGGAAAATCTAACTTTAAGATAGAGTAAAACTATTCAAATCGATTTAAAATTGTAGAATTATTCCATTTTGTATGCACTTCTACTTCGTAAGGATCTAAAAACACAAAATATACTTTCATACCTCACTAGTATACAAGGGCAAATATAGTATTTTTTCACCATGACCACAGCCGTCCATTATTTGTGGCGTAGTGTCGCTTCTTTCATTTTAATAGAAAATTTAATGTTAAATTAAATTAATGTTTGAAGCGATGAGCGTGTCGAACGTCGTTTTGGTAGTGTGCGAAAGAAATGGTAATCCAGCGCTTTCTGTAGCTTACTGATTGACGTTTATTTTGCTCCATCTACCAAAATTACGAAGTGAAAAAAAAATTAGCCTGCGTATTGTTTTCATTTGCTGTAAACCTCTGCTTCCAAAGCCCAGAATACCAGGATTCTTTAGTCAATGTGTTTTGTTTTTACCACTTATACTGAAATTAATAGATCTTATTCTGGGCTAATGTATCCTGTTTATATACAGTTATCATTAAATTATATGTTATTATAGTATGTTATGTAAAGACTTTTGTAATCTGCAAATTATGAAGCTCTTGCTTATTTAGGAAAACGTTATGTATTTCTCACTATTTAATTCTAACTTAACTGTTAAAGTACAGATAGCACAATATGTGTGACTTCACACTTTCCATTTCGGCAACTATTTTCACTGAGTGGAGTAAATTATCATTTCTTTGACATTCTTAGAACTATAATTCTAAATAATTTATTATAACAAATCACAAAAAAATATTTATTGTTAAATTGTGGTGTCTGTACTTAAACATTAAATTGAGTAATATTTATTGAAATAAATATTCTCAGTGTTCTATGTTTTAGGTATGTTATAAAGCAATACAAAATATTTAACAAAAACAATTAATTTAAGATCTTGATTTAAATTTTTATATCAGTGTAGGTTAATTATTGTTTAGTTAAATATAATTATTGAAATTAGTTCACATTTAAAACTGAGAATAATTATTTTTGTAAAATTTCTGTTTCTTACATTTCTGTTTCAATGTTAATGTTTTTCACCCTTATTCATAAAAAAAAATCACATTTTATAAGGGGTTTTGATACTGTGCTTGACGCATATAATTTATTTACCTAAACGTGTTATTAACGTTGAAACATAGATGTCGCTGTGCTAGAGGCTAAGTTTTCGACTTATGTTACCAGTAACTATGCCATAGAAATTGTTGTAATTCATACAATTAAATATTAATGGAAAATCCGTCTTTGATATACATCTCCTCCTCTTGTCTCCTTTTCTTAATGATTATTTTAGACAGATTCCTAAATTAACATTTACATAAGACTCGGTATTTTTTACTATATTAATTGAAGTAAAATAAAGTTTTTAAATTAAAAAATGTAAGTCTCATTCATTGACTGCTACGCGTTTGTACGACTCGATTACACCATGACTATTAACAAATAATGAAAATGACTCTTCATTAATGTTGGTGATGTTAAACTTTTGCGTTATCCTCTCCAGAGTAATTGAGGGATTCGAGGGCCATGATAATCATCGCTAAGCAGATATAATTTCTAGCTTTTCCGTAGCTTCTCAGGTCAGCATATAAAACGATTAGTAGTAAAAAAATACGCAGAAATTACCCATGTTTGTGATGTGACACCTCAGATTTATTTTTGTGATTATATGGGTAGGTATTAAAAATTTAATGTAGTTTTCTGATTGCCACAATAATATACAAGGGTAAGCTACTTATTATTATAGCATACACTAGGTAAACTACCTTCAGACATGGCCTACACATATACACTATACAGAGATTAGCTGCCGTGGCAGATTGGACTTGGGAAAAAATTAACATTCAAATACTCTTTTGCTAAGGTCGTTGTTAAAGAGGCGACAATAATTATGAGACTGATAGAATTTCAACTAAATACTTTATAGAGCTAGCATGAATAATCTTGTAATCTGTGGTATATTATGTCTTCAAATCTGTCACAAGAAAATTCATCGTACATTCACAAAATTAATTCCTAATGGGCTCTCAAGCAAATTAGTACAAACACGAAGATGAACGGGCTGGTGATTAAAATCTGGCAGACATCAGTGTTTGTTCTTCTTGTGTTTGCTGCTTTCATGTCACTTAGAGGCCTTTGGAGAGCCACCAGAACCTCCAGGATCCCTTGTCACGATAGCTGCTAGAATCGTGAACAGTCTCGGTATAAATTAAAATATTAGAAATTAAAAAATCATTAATTAATCTCTTCTACCGCATTTACCATGGAGAGTGTTCAGAGGAGTTGTTCGGATTAATACCTGCAGTTGAGTTTCATCATCGGATGTCGAGGCAGAATACGAAATTCCACCCGTATCACCTCGACGTCCGTCGTTCCACAATTGAGCGTTTTTAAGGCAGTTTTTGCCGTGCACCACTACTTTGTGGAACCAGCTGCCCACTGAAGTATTTCCGAACCAATTCGACTTAGGGTCCTTCAATAAAAAAGCGTACCAATTCTTAAAAGGCCGGCAACGACTCGGATTCGTCCATAGGCGGCAGTATCACTTACCATCAGGTGAGCCTCCTGGTCGTTTGCCCCCTGTTCTATAAAAAAAATGTTTACTGTATATAGATGAATAGAACAACGATGACGATCATGTTTGAACAGTTCATGGGAACCCCTGTAATGAGTTTTATATAATTTTGTTCTAGTTCTGCTAGGTGCATAGTTTATACAGATGGAAGCGTGCACTAAGGTGACAAAGCCCAGGTATGTGGAGTTTGGTATAATTGATATTGTATTATTTAAGAAATAATGTTTTGCGGATTAAATCTATCAACACGTTACGATATAAAATAATGGGTAAATTATCCGTATCGTGGCACCACCGATTTTGAGGCTGATTTTTTTATGACTTCGTCATGAGTTCTCAGCACCATAACTTCGTGTTATGATGGCGCATGACCTTTTTTGCCAAAAAAAAATCAAAAAGTACCCAAAACCGAATCAGAACACCCCACTATCCACATCATCTTGTCTGCCTTACCCCTAGAGTGTATATAAAAAAAAATATCGGTTGTCTGTAAAGTCGGTTTACTGACGATAGTTGAACGTGACAACGTCATAAGAAAATACTGATGGAATGGTTGCATTCTTCAAAAGAAAATTTTAATTTTATTTGTTAGATAGATATTTTGTATGGATATAGAGAAGGAAGTAAATGGAAATCACAATTGAATTGATCAAGTTATATTTATTGGTACGCATAAATACAATTATGTCAATTTTTGTGTGCAAGCGAGAGCGCGGAACGAGTGCTCTCGCTTGCACTTCAAGCCTTAAATGGAACGCCTCAGAGGTAACGCCGCATGAGTCATGTTTTTTCGTGCGTGCAGCCGGCTCCATCGAATTATAAGACGTGGTCACGTCAAAAATCGGAGGCGCGGAGGAAGAGCTTGCTTCGGTCTTGCTTAGGTACGCAAGGAGGGGCTGCATTTCTCGCAGCGCCGGAGCTGTCCAAAAAACCTATTATTATTAATATTGTTCAGTTAGGTTAGGTCAGTATATTAATATTTTTTTTAATAAATTGATTTTTTTTTAACAATACTAAATATTATGATGTTTACAGATCATAACGCGACTTTGAAAAAGTAATAAGTCTCAAAATCGCTGGTGCCGCGATACGGAATATTTACCAAATTAAATTTAGTAGTGCGCAGAGTTCATTAGGCCGCACTCAGTATCCTCACTGTGGACACTTGGGCAAGCTTTAACAGTTAACACCACAGCATTGATTTTTAAAGTGACTTTTAAGTACATAGAAATCTATTATACGCATTAATCATAATATGATAGTATGACAGCCAACTATCGCAGGGTACTGTGCAACAAAACGTGATCCCTCCTGCAGCTGGAAAAAAATTTCTTTGCGTTTAACTTTAAATGTAAGTACAGATTCAATATTCCGTAATGGCGGAGGGTTATTACAACATTATGTTGCACTGTACCTAAAACTCCCTCTGCAAGCCGTCTTGTAAGCAATAGGCTCTTCATATTTTACAATGGATATGTCGGATATGTTTCATTTACTTCGGAGGTCCAAGAAAGCTTAACAGAAAGATATCAAGGTTTTCTGTATTAACGACCCCAAAAAGCTACGGTTCAAAATGCCTAATATATATTTTCACTTTAATTAGACGATTACATATCTAAACGCAAATTTACATTTCCTAAAAATGTTTCTTTTTGTTCGATCAGGGCCGGATTTAAAGGTCTGGAAGCCTCGGGGCAACAAAGGAGTGGAGGCCCCCGGCACTAAATATTTTCCAAATGAAAATTTTTTTTAAGTCGAGTTTTTCAATCAACAATTTATTGTGAAACCAAGTAGATTATTTTAGTATTTAACAAACATATAATACTATATCAAAAGAAAAGTCGTTTACTAGTAAACACTAGTAGGAATTTAAAACAATATTTTTTTTAGCCTCTTGTGAAGGCTGGGGCTGTAGCCTCCTCTAAATCTGGCCCTGGGTTTGATAACGATGAGTTCTCTTTATCATAGATATTTCACTGTGTTATAATAATATTTATTTTTATAGAAACGAAATGGAATATAAAAGCGTTATGTTGGGTGGCCTTATTTACATTCTGTTAGTTGGAATATGTAAGTTTTTACATTTTTAGTTAATACATATATGTATATTCCATCGCACTAAGGAGGCGAATGTGGAATTAATTGCTATTAACGTTTTTTACATGTATAGAAAATTGCAGTGATTTGTAACTATTTAGTTATTTGAGATACATCGTAGAATTTGGTCAATGTCCAAGTCTGATTTGATTAATAACTTTTGCACATTCAAGTAATGACTATCGATCGAGGCATGCTGCATTTGCACACGCGACGCAGTCTTCCTATTTTCCGATCTTCTGAGCTGTTCAATCTATAGGGTGATTAGGGATATACTATAGGGAGAAAATAATTGACGACTAAAAAGCTGTAGTAAATTTTAATGTAGTCTCCTCATCATAAATCTAGAGCAAACGGCACAGCAAAATATTTTAAAGAGTCTCATACTAATATCGTCTTCTACGACATTTCTCATAGAAAAACTCATCTTTCTCTTTGATGAAGTTATATAATAAAAAACATGCTCTAGACAAAACTTATGCTACTTTACGCCACAGTCAAGTTTCTTAATAAACGCATTACAGTTTTAGCCTTAAATTCTTTATAAATTAACGGTAGAGGTACTGTCGTACTGATGAACAAACTTTTGAATTTTAATAATTTCTTACATTTATTACAGTGATAGTGATAAATGAAGCATTCTGCAAATCTATTTGCTTGAAAAACGCTCAGCGAGCTGCAAATCAAGCAATGCCAGACATTGATTTAAATGAACGGAAGCCTTCAAAATCCAGACCGATGTAAAGCATATCTAAAGTGTTGAACGATATACTAGATGGCGCTGTACAAAATATTGAAATAAAACAGCAAATTTTATATAGTCTTTTATTTACTTAAAAATAATTAAAGCAGTAATAAATACAGCCAAAGCACTCTCGTTAAAATGTAGACCATGTGCTAAGGGCTTATTATATTAGAATTCCTTACATTATTACCATTATACATAAACGTATTTTTGTTTTGTCTCGTTTTATTAAATCTGAATTGCATTTTACGAAAAGAGATAAAACATAAAAGTATACGTGACAACGGAATATCTTAAAACTAATATCACAGTCTATTTTATTCTTCAGGGAATATTTTGTTCATTGGTACAGCATTAAATATTTTGTTAGCGACATCTTGGAAAACTGAACTTAAACTCTTTTCATAGGCTTCCTTTAATTCATTGAACACCAAATCTGAATTTTCGTTAAGGAACCTGTAAAAAGATTTAAATATAATCTGTTTTTGAACCCATTATGGCCCTTTATTTTAGTAGATGATTGTAAACGGAAATGACGTGCTGATATTTATTTTAGTTGTAACAATACCAGGGGTTCGTATAATTTTAAGAGTTATCTCCTAAAATCAAGATTACCATTATTAACTAATATTATAAAAAGGCCTTTTTATTATTTTTCACTTGCATCTGCCTGATATTTATGTTGTCGATGTTTGTATCTCAGACATGATGTTTCCTTCGAATCCAGAATTAAGTTTGCATTGAAAAATTTAACACAAAGTTAACACTTAGGTCACTAAGTCAAGACTAAGCAAGACTCAAGAAATACCGTCATATATATTAATTATATCAAAAGTTTTTAGAAAATATAATATGTTAGCGTTTTAGTTGAAAGTACATCATAAAATAAAAATCATATTATTTTACTTCAGCACCACCTAGTGTTGCGTCATTAAACTTAAACAGAACTACATTAATAATGAAAACAAGTGCCACCTTTTACCCTTTAACTTGTCACTAGGTGGCGTTGTACTAAACTATTTCTAAAATACCTGTATTTACCACCTAGCTGTCGCCGCTAGATGGCGTTTGTACTTACAAATTCATCCGATCGCCCAGTCGTTTGTCGCCATTGAACAAATTGGTGAAATGAAAATGGACTTTCTTCGGAATAAATTTTACTCGGTAATCGCGAATTCGCATGTATGTCTCCCCGTCTCTCTCTATTGGTTCGCCTATTAAGTCGTGCTTCACTACCAGGTTTACTAAAGACGAAGTCAAACATATTAAACCAGTTTAAATATGTAGTAAATTTTGAATTTTTTTTTAATATAGGCTCAAGTAGGTATAGGATTTTCAGCGTGGAAAAAGAATACAATTGTAAACTGTGCTATCATGTTTGAATGTGACCGAATTTTGGTTTAGCAAGTATTTTAATATCAGGGCTATTATTCACAATAACGTATTTTCTATTAAAAAATAAATCAGTGGTGCTACAACCTCTTTAGGTCTGGGCCTCGGATTTCTGAATCTGTTTCATGATCATTTCCCAATCTAATAGGCAAGTAAGTGATCAGCCTCCTGTGCCTGACACACGCCGTCGACTTTTTGGGTCTAATACATGTCGGTTTCCTCACGATGTTTTCCTTCACCGTTCGAGCGAATGTTAAATGCGCATATAGAAAGAAAGTCCATCGGTGCACAGCCGGGGATCGAACCTACGACCTCAGGGATGAGAGTCGCACACTGATGCCTCTAGGCCAACACTGCTCGTATTTTATATTAAAGACAGTTATTATTGTTAAACAATGAAAGTCGCCGCCATTTAATTTAGCCCCAAAAACAATAAAGAACAAAAAAATTCAGCAGCATATGTATATAATATTAAATTATCATCTAAAAACGGCTCTACGTATAAACTTAGCCACACAAAACACTTTTCCTTTAATTTTTAATTTAGGGTTTCATATCCAACGCCGTGGTTGGTACGGGATTTTAATATTTCAGACAAATATCTACTTACTAAAATACCAGTATTTCGTCTTATAAATATGTAGTTACCTACCCATAGTAACATTAGCCATGCCCTTTCCCTGTATGGGTAGAACTAGGATTCTGCCCTTCATGACATAGTCTGCGACAAACTCCATTTTAGGTGTCAGTGACTCCGTCCGTAGTCGATAGTGCTTTAAGTCTGCCCTGGAATATCATAGAACAAAAAATTTAAAGACCTTGCACTAAGTAGGTAATATAATTTTAAGAAGATATTGTTATTTATTACTGACATAAAAACTATCATTATTAAAAAAAAACTCTTTATTGCTACTCCCCTCTTCGAAGACATAGATTGCAGAAGATCAAGGGCGAAATTCTATCCGTATCACCTCGACATCCGTCGTTTCACAATTATTGATTGTTTTGTAAGGCAGTTTTGCCTCGCACCACCATATGTGATACCAGCTGTCCACTGAATTCTTTCCGAACCAATTCGACTTAGACTTTAGTTCAAGAAAAGAGCGACCAATTCTTAAAAGGCCGGCAAAGCTCTCGCGAGCCTGGCATTCAGTGTCCATGGGCGGTATCACTTAACATCAGGTGAGCCTCCCGTCTGTTTGCCCTCAGTTAGGTATATAAAAATAACACAAATAACCATCATAGTCGACTTGTAAAATGTCTGATTAATAAAATTGATTATTAATTTTATTAGGTTTTCATTAAGTTAATAATCACAACTTTTACGGTAAGAATCAGACTTGAAATCAAAAACTTTACGTTTTTAACTTACGGTAGCTAAATCAATTTATTAAAACCTACTCATGTAAATTTAATATTTGACTTAAATGTTTAGAAGGGTGAGAATGTAAAACAAAAGACAAATGACGGCGCGTTTCGTTTCATTGTTATTGGTCAACATCTCTAGTCTAACACATTCACACGTAACATGATACGTCAAGATTGTCCAATCAGAAACTTAGGCACGTGACTTTTGTCTGCCATTTTATATTCACATCTTCAGTTTAGTTCTATAGAAATATTGCACTTATGAATGAATTTATGGATATTATGACTAAATGGATAAATGTAAAACTTTATTATATAGCTTCGCACACAAATATCATTGAGAAAAAATAGATTTATTCAATGTTTAGTAAAATTAAAAAAGTACAGATTCAGAAGCAAGTTTCGTTAATATTGGGGAATATGGGAACCATCACAAACATAACGTGTAAAAAGAAACCCAAGTCCCTCAACGCAGTTCTACCGTAAAAAGTCGTGATATCCATGTAATAGCAAGTCGGTTCATTTATTCAGCCCCTACTAAAGGGATCTTCTGACTTAAGTTATTACGTAAATAGCTAACCTAACAACATCATATAGTGACCATATCAATATAATTTTTTTTTTGTTTTTAATAAATACATTGACTTGGCCCTTGAAGTTTCTATGAATGCTGGTGCCTTAGAGTTTTTATGATCGGTCAGTCAGTGAGTGCCGTGGAAGGTAATAAGCAGCTTTTAATTGATGTAATTCTCTGTCACGAAATTCTCTTCTGTTTCTGTTTTCTCTTTGGTTTTAATTTCTACTTTTGAATTTTAATCTTACTTGTAATTAGTAACGACGGTATCAGTTAGTCCGTGCAACTGAATATTCTTGTAATTTTGGGCGATGACCACGGGACCGGCGCCAGCTTCAATGTTCATACCCGACACTGATAATGGTTCCAGAGGAGGTACTGCCAGTTCCGATACACCTGAAAAACCCCATATTTGATAAATAATTGTATTTGTATAAATGAGCCGTGATAGGTTAAATAAGGTTATCGTCTTCGATAAAATCTGTCACCATATCTTAATGTATAAAACAAAGTCGGGTTTAATTGGACACTTATAACGTTTTTTATTTGCCGCCGTCCCGAATAGTAGAATTAGTATTGGAAAATAAAAAATATTTGTTTTGTATTAATTGTACATCATTCATAAAATCATAAATTAAGTTCCGCTAATCTGTAACACAACATTCATTAACTCTTAGGCGGTACGAAGTTCGCCAGCAGCTAATGAACGGCAGCATAGTATAAAAGATCTATAACATAGTACACATCTCGTAACATTCATAAATGCTAGCTATATCTTAATATATGTATCTTATGTATGATATGTGCGATATTGGGTATCTTATGTATTAAATATTAGATATTTTATTATATTTTAATTTTTTTCGACATTATCGTATTGGCTTCGGACGGATTGTGTATGTATTTTTGTGAATAAATAAACAAATTAATCGTTACAAAGTGTGTATTCTCTATCTGAGACTAATCATCAATTAAGATTCAAAATTCAAAATCATAGAGAAGAACTGACAATAAACTCTCCGCCACTCTTTTTAATCGCCAAGTTTTTTGTTTAACACAACGTTTGTAAGGAGCTGCAACAATTACACCATGTTCCACATGACATCTTTAGTAATAAATAATAATAAAATAAATTAAAAACAAAGATTTGTCCTCAAACAGCAGGAGGCATGGTGAAATAGGAGCACGCATTTACATTCTCGTGGGAACAACACGCAAATACACAGTCGAAATAACTAACATTAAGTGTTAAGAGTATTGCGGGAGATTTACATATTTTAAGCAAAGCATAAAATGGCATTGACCCGTACCTTTCTTCATCTTCCTGAGCGCGTCGGGCACCGCGTGCTTGAGGCATTCGTCGATGGCGACGTCGTTCTGTCGACATCTTGTAAACTCAGCCGCTGCAACAATTGCAACAGTCAGGACTAGTGGCCTTTAGTAATATTCACGTTTTATTCACGTGAATACATCTTCGAGATAAAGCAACAAAAATTGGTTTAGTTGAAGTTTATTTTGAATTTTTGTTATGATCTTGAGCTTTTAAGTGTTTGATTACATACATTAGATATTGGCGGCGAGTTCCGGCTTCGTACGACTGGATATTTTAAATTATTTTGGAAATAATTATAGCTTATATTATTCTAAGAAATTTGTGAAATCGGTCTAGTAATTTTTGAATTTCTTCGTTACAAACATATAGAAATTAAATTCTTGCCTCTTATAACTCAAAACTCAAACTCAAACTCAAAATATCTTTATTCAAGTAGGTAACCAAGTACACTTTTGAATCGTCAAGTTAAATTAATCGTAAATTTACATTTACTACCAGTTCGCAAGTCAAGGGCGTAGAGCGGGTAAGAAGAACTGGCAAGAAACTTTCCGCCACTCTTTTTAATCGCCAAGTATTGTCATACAAATTGTTTGAACTGGAGCAATTCAATCCCAAGGATTAGGATCATTTAAGTAGTCCTCAAATTTATAAAAAGCTTTGTTGATTAATTTTCGTTTAACGAGGGCTTTGAATTTATTTAGTGATAATTCTCTAATTTCGCTTGGGAGCTTGTTGTAAAAACGAATACAATTTCCATATAAGGAGTGGTTTATCTTTTGGAGCCTGGTTGGTCGTACACTCAAATTAGTTCTATTTCGCGTATTATACTGGTGAAAGTCACCATTTGTTTTAAAATCGTTTATATTTTTTTGGACATACAACAAGGCTTCAAGAATATATTGACCAGATAGTGTCATAATATTTAATTCCTTAAACTTATTCCGTACCGACTCCCTCGGAGAAACACAACAAATACCCCGAACAGCCCGCTTCTGCAGCACAAATATGGATTGAACCTCTGCAGCAGCACCCCACAGTAAAATGCCGTACGACATAACGCTATGAAAGTAGCTATGGTACACAATTTTAGCCGTGTCCTCATCAGTAAACTGTCGGATTTTCTTTACTGCATATGCTGCAGAGCTCAGCCTATTCGAAAGAGTCTCTATGTGTGGGCCCCATTGGAGTTTACTATCTATTGTTATGCCTAGAAAAACAGTTTTGTCAACAAAGTTTAGTTCACTGTCCTTAATTTTCAGGTTACCAATATCTCGCTTTACGCTAGTAGTTGTAAATCTAATACATTTTGTTTTATTCTCATTAAGCAATAAGTTATTTACATTAAACCAGTTAACTATACGAGAGATAGAATTGTTTACATCGTCCAATAATACGATGATAATATATAGATGGTTATAACGATGGATAACGATAACTTCTTAATTTAATATTGTACCATTCAAAATCTAGATATAAAAAAATACAACATTTTATTTAGAACGCATTACATATGCTAGCAATATTTATGTATACACAAACATTCTTATATATATAGCTATATTTCTTGGAATTAATGACATATATTATAATGAATAAATAATAGTAGTACTTTGAACTTGAAAAAAATATTGGTGTTTTTGAATGTACATATATACATATAATATTAGATTTAACAATAATGAACGACAGCTAGAAACACCCATAATTTATTTAACCACCATTTTTTGGTTATTCAACCCATCTAAGTCGGAATTCCATGGGTGGGTGACACAAGTCGGTCTGCCCGAAGTCCCTTTGCGTCACGTGACACAGTATTGACTAGGCACTTAGCACTAGTTATAAATACCTTTATCCGAGTTATTTGATTAAATTTTAAAGAAATATGTCTAAAAGGCCAAACGTATTTGTTAACCAATTAATCTATTAGATCCACATTATAAGCAAACATTGCGTGAAAGAATTCGAATAAACTTGACCTTGTATTGCGTAACTAGAGTCAAACACCTTTTAGTTTCGAATACTCGTTACAGGTCTATATATATTTTTCCCCTTATTCTCTAAAATAAAGCTTTAAACACACTTGAGTTTCTGTCAAATATCCATTACAAGTAAATAATCAATTTCACTTTATTTATTAATCTCGACATTTACTCATTAATCTAGACATGTTGATACAGGGTATTTTAAATAAATATGTAGGTAATTTATTTTACACACACTTTTATGTTAATAGAGTCAATTTGTAATGTAGTTTATAAAATGTAGAAAATATTTGAAAATAACAATCGTAGTCCTACAAAATTTATCGCTAAGTACCTACCTATATATATTTATTTTTGTATGTATTGCAAAGTGTATTCTTGTATTTGTGTATATAAAAAATATATTATGTTAATAACACGCAAATAATAATGTCTTAATTATTTCATATTTAATACAACACAAAGACAAATATATATTATCGAAAAAATATTGCATAAGGCTGCGTTAATCTATTTACGAGATTTGCTTTTTAACTGATTTAAGCCCTTAATGTGAATACATGCAATCAAATAAGTCACGGGGTTAACGGGTAAATGGTAGTCCGAGATGTTAGGAAAGGGCGTAATATTCCACTTGTCTTACAAAATAAGAGAATCGGGGACGAGGCCGGCTGCAGTTGCCAAACCCTGACCACAATACACTCGTCAAATTACTCTACATATACTAGCTGTAACCCCTGACATGGCTTGCTATGGCTTTCGTCTTTAATTATTATTAAAAAAAAACAAACAAAAAAATATTTAGCAAGAGTTCTTACCACAATTAAGCGCACTCGTAAATAATGTTATTAAAATATATATTTGTTAAGAACTCATAAGTTGAGCAATTGTCACAATTCCTAGATTTTCCTAAGTAAAATTTTAACGGTGTTAATAAAGCATTTTCAATTATATATTTAATGTGTCTTAAATAATATTTCAAGTTAGTTTATTTAAATGCGAAACATTTGAACATCACAAAAACGTTTACACTTGAATATAAAATACTTTCTCTTCTTAATATTTACGAACGTAAAATTAAAGATAGACATGCAAGCTGCACGCGCATCCTTGCTAAAGGCCTAGACCGAAATTCGTGGCGATTCGTTTTGCACACTGCATATATTTGGATAAGGAATTTTCCATATATCGCTACGCTAAATCTGCATATTAATACTACACACTATTGTTCCATATTAGGGTTGCCTGGAAGAAAGCTTTTCAGCGATAAGGCCGCCCATTGCCTGATAACTTATGTAACCTGCTTTTTTTGGTTTTTATATGTATGATTTTGTATATTATGGTAACGAAGTGACAATAAATACATGCGTAAAAAACTAAATTTTAAAAGTAATTGCACTCTTTAACTAAACGTCGTCTCTTACTATCAAATGGTATATATACGTAATGACACAAATAAGTAAATGATTTATTTTTTATGAATATGGAACCTTATTTAACAGCCTCCTAGGCTTAGTTTAGTTAAGGATTAACAGGTTGTTGAACAAAATGATCACTTACTTGTCCTAAAATTTATACAAATAGCAATGAAATTATACATAGCGTTCAATCAAGCCTTGGCACGGCTGGACTTTATTTATTGTCTAATAGATAGTTAAACGTATTGGTTTTTCGGACATTTTTGTAGATATGGAGGCTCTTAGCTTATAACTCTTTACTCTATTGTCAATAGTTTCCACAGAATACGCGATAGAGAAATTACAATTGTTCCTTTTCATACCTTGGGTTACAGTATCGAAGTTTTGATAGGGATTCCTTACCTTTTAAAAATATTAAATATGCAAACATATGTTTATCAAGGATAATGCAGGATTCCAATGGTGGATTTTTTTAAATCGGTACACCTTTTGGAGCAATGCAAACACACAAACAGATAATCAAATTTTTCTAATATTAGTGTACATGGAATTCTGCAGCAGGCCTTTCAGGTGAACATGATGCTTGAAACCGTTACAGCATTTTAAGAATTTGAGGTCTATTAAGCGGTGGCGATTGAACTATGAACATGATTTTGTATCAAAATATACCAGAAATACATTAAAACGACACGAAAGTACGAAAGAAACCATCATTAAGCCTATTTATCATCGTCCGTTTACGCTAATTTCTTAAATGGAATTAAATATTTCCGTATCACTAAGAATACAAATCACAAAATCTCGCAATGTAACTACTGGTTAAGAATAACTTACGTTTGTATGCAATGTTTGTCTCTATATGGAGCCAGGAAGTTAATGATGTACTTCAAATATATTTACTCAATTCCTATTACACACAGGTGCAAAACAATTTTGCCACCATGCATTATAAATCAAAATAAAGACAGACTAATTATGATTCGCCGTAGTTTGAAGCTTGCAGAATCTAGTAATTATAATCTGTGCCTCATCCTTCTGTTTCACTTTGGGTGACTTCCACGACGAACGTAGCTTACCCCATGTAAGCACCATGTACCAAATATAAATTACATCATCGACAATGATTAAAAACAGTTACACACAACATACATAACAAATACTATGTATATATATTTTAATAAATAATAATTATATATTATTATTAATTAAAATATTTATGATGTAACCTTTTTATAAGTTGCGTTTCAAAAATTATTATTAAGGTGGTTTGAGATATTTTTCATGAATGAAAATTAATTTAATTTTTAAAAAAATCTGATCTAAGTTTCCGCTTCCTGATTCTTTAAATTATAATTTTTTTACACATTAAATTAACGAAGGCGGTGACTAAAATATATATAACGCTTTCCAAATTTAAATATATTATACCGCTTCTGTGGTTTAATTACGCATTAATACGCAAATTTAGGTATTTGATAACTGGTCCATTATACTATAGGCCGATCATCTTTCTTAAAAAAAATAATAAGACGCATAAATTTTACAACCAACATTATTTTGACTAATACTGTTTTGACCAACAAGACTTTGTTACGGAACTTTGAAAGGTTATTGATATTATTGAATTACTCATAAGAAACGATTTCTCCAGAAAAAAATTGGAAACAATACTCCAAAAAGATCCCGTCTATTTTCTGCCATCAATTAATATAACAACTTATCAGGATAGATAGTAGGCTAATTGGCTACAAAATGTGGACTATTTGTATCTCAAATAGCATTTATCAACTAGCGGTCTGTCCCGGTTTGAACGGGTATTTTCTAATTTTGAAAATAAATGTATCCACTGTTAAAAAGAGATATTCAAATATTAAAATAATTTTTTAGTTATTAAATTATTTTATAAAAAATACGTATTACACTGAACTGAATTGACCTAAATACCTATGTCCTCGTATAAAATTAAACTTAAGCAATATACAACGTATCAGGATAATAAGAGAGTAAACGTTACATAAAATTTACGGTACAATAAGTTGATATCCTAGAGCGTTATTAAGCACTCGCGGAGAGCGTAACGAAAGTTATTACGCAACTTGTACTTATAAAGATTACGTACTGTTTTCACCAACAATCTCTAAGCATTTAGTACGTTAGAAGTTCATTGTAGAAAAACGTTCTTTTTTGCGCATGTATTATTTATAATTTTATGCTATGGATCTATTTATGCTTTCACAAGAGGCGCCATTTGTTATAAGACGTACATAGATAATATTATTTTATACAGATGTGGTCCAAGTGTAAGGGTTAAATAATTTTATTTTGGTTAAACACCCGGTCGCATAGGCTTCGTATAAGTTCTGTCTACTACGTATTTGTTTTTAATTTATCCAAAGATGTATGTAAAACAATTACGAAACGATAATTGCAAATATTGGTTGTTTATAATTTCTTGTCAAACGGAAAGACACTCGAAGTGTCTATGATCAGAGATGGAGATGCAGTTGACCAATCACAATCAAACGAAATGGGGTAACATTTCGTCTTTCGATTTAGATCCTTTATAATTAACCGAGTGTCAAGAGATGTGGGTGTGGGAGATAATTATTGAAACTGTGACAATTATAAAAAGGCCTGTTGGAGTTCTGTATACAACTAACTAAACTGAGCATAGATTATACTACAAGATTTTTAATATATACTGTATTTAGTATAAGAACGAAGAGACAATAAGCAGTTATTTCTATCGTATTAGATTACGCGTTTATAAATATGTACTTTTGAAATACTATTAATTTTAATTAACGAGACTTTTAATAAAATATTTTGCGGAATACTTAATCCACATAATAATCGTAATCGTTTATGTGATTTACATCTAATTGCCTAACGGAGTTATTGCACTTCACTGAACTTGTTCTACGTAATTTGCTGAAACTTTAAGTGAAATACTCTAAAGTTAACATTTTGTCTAAGAAATAATAAATAATAACTAGATATGATTGAAAAGGTTTTACCGCAATCGGAAGGTAGTCATACACACATGACAAACACGTTGGCAAGTCTTAGCGGCTAGCGCATGCAAATGGGTCCATTGCGAACGGAACCTTCGCACGCGCGCCCATGAGCCTTTGGCCATTATTGGCTATTTGTTAAGGTTAATGACATGATGGCCTCAGCCTAGGATTATAATGGTTGAAGGCTTTATAAAAACAGCAAGAGTAAAACTAAGGGACCTATAGAGCCCTGTGGGGAACAAATTAGGAAAACATATATAACAGTAACTTGACTAACAGAGTTTATGATACTAACAAAATAGTTCTACGTTGACTGAGATTCTAAATAATAGTATTGAGTGGACCTACACGTCAATGCTCTTAATATGGGACGTAGATAGGAACATTATAGTTTAAGTACAAATAAAAAAATATGATAAAGAAAGCAAAAAAGGAAAGCGTGACTTCAGCATGAACCTTATAAGGACATCTCACATGCTGATCAATTTTAAAACAAAATTATAACAGCTTAAATCAACTAAAATTAAAGTATTTATTATCTTATTTATAAATTAGATTCTAAAGGGCCTTTGTCGCTGTGAGCCGAATCTCTCGTTAACATGTAATTTCTTAGACATAATTGTAAACCTAGTCAGGGTAATTAGTTGTTATAACTTTTTTTTAATAGGAGACGAAAATCCATCAGCGCATAATCATCCTGACCCCTAAGGCCAGGCCATTCGGGGTGAGATTCAGAAACGAGTCTCAACGCCAACTATGACTCCCGGATGTCAAAATTCAATACATTTTTGACGTGTGAGGTTTATAAGTTTACTCTAAGTATTAATTATTTATATGTGCAGTTAACGTTGTGGTTTTAATTTGCAAATTATACCTTGCGGTGGTATTTATGAATATTAATAAAATTATGCATGTCTTTGTTTACGAGTTGTCATATGCAAAGTTATAGGTTCTAAGAATCTTTTACACACAATGTATAAAACGCTATGTATAAAATCTTTCGTTTGAAAGTTCTTATAACTAACTATATGATTATTTAAAACACTTTTACACTTAATCTGCTGATGAATCACTTATACAGATTTGATATTATATCGATAAAAATAATGTAATAGATAAAGTCACAGGCGTCCGTAAATAACTAAATATAACGATCTATATAAAAATCATAAAATCGATTATCATTTAATAATTATTTTTGAGTTCGTTAGTCCATTTATCGAGAAAGATTAAAAGGCACAGGATAGTGTTTGTTACGTAAAGTATTATAAAAAATGTTAATTCTGGTTGCACTTACTAGGAATAAAAAAAATATCCCTTAAAACCATCGTAGAGATTAACTTTTGGCGCGTTAGGGAAAAATGATGAGAGTAATTTTTTTTCTATTGTAGTTTAGTTTTTTCTACAAACGTAGAATAAGGCGAAGGATAAAAAATTTGACAAGATTTTTATCCTGTTATGCCAAAGAAGTATAACTTCTGACGCGTGTGCATAAGTACACAAACGTTTTTTTTTTCTTATTTATGCCTGCCTGTATTTTTTTCCTGCCGGCCTGCTTATATTTCGGCATAAACTACGGCATGCAGTTTTTTAGCTCATCTAAGATGTCCTGGCGTGCATATGAATAATCATAATGGGAATATAAATCTGTATATATGTACAATGTAACTACTATATAATTAATAATTTTTATAATCTCCTAATTCAGCAATTCAAAAAATCAACTTAAAATACTTACGCAATGAACTCTCTGCGATCACTGAACTTATAATAAAAAATAAAAATAAAAACATTTTTCTTTCACTAAAAATCATTTTTATCAACGAGTGCGAACGTGACGCTCTCTCGCAAACAACTGATTTCGCGCGCTTTTCACTGTCATATATATTTTTTTTATTGCGTATGTAAATCACAAACGAGTTTGTTTTGGATGCAACTTTAACATTATTTCCATCCCTTCACCAATGCGTGAAATATTTCACCACTTTCATACGACCTTCAATTTCGACTTGAACAAATATTATGGTTCATATTGCTAAATGTTTCTGGTTTATAAGGTCGGCCACTAAGGGTGAGATCTATAGTGCGCACTTAGACTTTGCTCTGACTTAACTATCGAGCTAAGACACAGTCGGTATTTATAGAGCAAACTACGAATCTCTCCCTAGTGTTGGCTTAGCTTAATCTCAAGTCCACGAAATCGACGACTTACCAAAAACTTTGACTATAAGCCTAACAAAAATAATGGCCCAAAATTTGCTTTACCATCATATCTTTTACTGGACTTTTTTATTTTTGTCGGTTTTTAATGAACGGTGTTGCCATTTTGTATCGGAGTTCCATAGACTTTGGGAAAAATAGAATTTGAATTCAAAGAAATTATAAATGATCTTGATAAATACCTATGAAATGCATGAAATAAAATAATTACACATTATTATGGTATTTATTGTTGTTTATTTATATTATTTATGTAATTGTTCAAACCCCATTTTTGAGAAATCTTAAAAATAACTGGTGTGATTTTGTATGTCACCTGGCAGCCCTGGCAATTGGCATATTATAGTGACAACGAAATTCAAACTATAACCTAACCAAAACATTGCGATCCGTTCTACGTAATAAAATTATTGTCATCTTTAAATAATTAATACATTTTCTAAAGGTTACTCGTGAATTTCTAGTTATTGCAATAATAAAATAAATGAATACATAAATAACAATAAATTGAAGATATATGTGTACCGTTTTAGATTTTTAAATATTTGTTATTGTTAACTTTTTTTAAAGGATAATAAACAAAGTATTGCATGAAATGAAACATCAATTTGTATTTTGACATTTTCTGTCTTAGCTTGGGCTTAGCTTAATCTCACCGTTAAAATGTCTATAAATACGAAATCATAGTTTAACCTTAGTGTACACTAAGCAAAGTTTTTCGTAAGGTAAGTCTGAGCAAAGTCCAAGTGCGCACTATAGATCTCACCCTAAGATTTTTCGAGTTGGTAATATTTTGTAGGTATACAAGTTGAAGTCTTCTTAAAATATGTCCTGAGAATAAAGTTTTAGCTCTCAATAAGAGTGTCTAGCAACAGATTTTTAATTACGTTGTCAGTTCATACTTAGGGTTATTTCAGAATCGCGACAAAAGTCCAATGCGTTTTATAACAGGCGGAAGTCACACTTAGTGCTTAGTGTCGACTCTGTCGATCTTATGGCTTTAACTAATACCTGAGAGTTGTTTTTTTCTACCATCTACTATGGACACTCACATTCCCTTGTTTGCGGTCTTTTAACACTTGGTACTTTATTTTAAAAGAAGTTCAGAAACACCTTAAGGGGCAGCTGGTTCGTCATATCGGTACTCTTCGTTCTTACATAATGTCAAAGACAATTCAGGCTTCGTTCATTATATATTATGTATTAATAGTTTTTTACAATTTCCATGGAAAATGAAATATAAACTAACTCACATAGTCCAACTTGAAACCATCTTTGCTAAAAATTGAGAAGAGAATAGTGCCTATATAAATTATCTACACACTACATATGTGAAAACATCTAATTAAAACTAACTATCACAGTAAAATAATTTTTTTCAAGAGCCTTGACAGTTAAACCATAATTTAAATATGAATACATAATTTTCAATCAATAAAATAACTTTTATATTATAATAACATCATCATTATTAGTGTTTGTATAATCATAGTTTGGAGCATCTGCATACTGCCTGTAGCCTTTCTGGTATTTTAAGGCTAAAGAATCACCTGGAAGTGTTCTATTAAACATTGAATCGCCATTTAAATCCAGCTTTATTATTCCAAAATAGACAGAGTCTATGTCCTGCTTACATTTTATCATTTTTCTTTCTTTAATGATTAAATGTTTTTTAACTGGTAACATCAAAATCATGTCCTGCACCTCATTATTAAGTTTTACTTTAGCCTGAATCATTCCATTTGTAGTCAGATCCTTTTCATCTTTTAATGGCAAATTGCACTCCATACATCTTATGTTCTCGTTAAAATCTGTATTAAAAGGCACAGGGAACAATCTTTCATTTAAATAAAATCTATAAATACACTTATGTTTCTCTTTATTGGTAATACTATGTATTCTTGATTTTGCCGAATGGCATTCAAAAAAGTTTGTATTTCTAAAGTTTTTTAAGATATTAATGTTGTCTTGGTCATCTGTGTTGAAGAAACCTATTTCTTCTGTTGAACAGTCATCATAAATTCTGAATATATCATCAGATGAGTTATTACTTTCAGGCTGTTCCTTTATAGTATCTAATGACACCTTTTTGGGTATACAGTTGGTTATAGATTCTGTGGATTGATGAAAGTTCTTATTTAAGTAATGCTGCTGAACACTTGTCTGTCCTTCACGTTTCGTCTTTTTAGAATTAACGGTTTTATTACAAAGATCATCTGATTTTTCAACCCTATCTGCTAGTCCTTTGCAGTCACCACAATTTTTGCAATAATCAAACTTTGCTTGCGATACAGTGAACATACAGTCCGATTTGGTACTTTTGAAAGTCTTTACATTAGTTTTAGTGTTGGAAATGACACCTGTTGAAAAACTTTTGCTATATTTAGATGCTGGATTGATTTGTTTTGATAAAACAACCTTTTTCACAATGTTTGGTCTGTGTACAACTTTATCGCCTTTCATTCGTTGTGAAACTCGTAAATGTTTGTTAAATCGTTCACATAATATTACATTAGATGAATCACTGTCTTTTTGTGACATTTTATATATATTTTATTCTTTGTTACACTTGTAAGAAAAATATGTTAATATTTAATAAATAAAGATTGTAAGCAGCCGTTGCCATAGAAACGTCAGTCGTCAAGGCAAGAGTCTGTAGTCTGTTGGGCCATGAATCATGATTAGTTATACCCTTGTTCCTGCCATCTAGTACCAACTATATCCAAAGCTCTACCTATTGGAAATAACTTACAAATTTCACATACTGGACCGCTTTATAATCCATATCAGAAAGCAAAACGATTTTCATGTTACATATGGTATTCTTAGTCTCTTCTTCAACTGTTTAAATTACTTTTGATACTTACTTCAGAGAACTCTATCGTTAATTGATGAATTCATAAAGAGACCTTTATAACTAATATTTTATCATTGATATTACTAGATGGCGCTTATTAAAATAGCTAAAACGTTTTACCACTTATTTAAAAATTAAATTAAGATATTATTTATTCAATTAACTGATTATTGTACAATTTAAGTAATACATTCTATATACCTAGATGTGTGTCATCACTTATAAACATAAAATATCGAAAGATTAAAAATATATAGGAACGACATAAATAATAATAATTATTATTATTATTTTATTTATTGCCAAAAATAGGTTACATAAAAATTACGTATCCCAGACCTCTAATGTAGTGAGAACTGTATTTCAGGACCCTGTGACTTCCCAGATCCATGTTTGTTAAGAAAAAAATAATTACAATAATTGTAATAAATAAAAAAATAAGTTTATGATAAGGTATTAAAGTTAATAAACATTTACAGCAAAATTAAATAGGTATTGACTTTAAATTAAATAGGAATATTAAGGTAACAAACCCTTGAGAATCCAACATTTTGTTATATTATATATTGTAGCACTAAGTCATTATTTATTTTCTTCACGTAATATCCCATTTTCCTACTCATCATGGCCAAAATAATCTATAGAGCGTTCAGCGAAATCACTAGTGTATCGATGTGCGTCAGCGCAGCTCGCCTCTTTCGGTTTTGGAGATTCAAGCGAAGTAAACGATTCAAAAACATACGGAAATTATTTAAGCATGGATAAATTCAGTTTTGTCGTCTTTTGCTTACTGGTGAGTTCAACATTATTTGAGACAAACAATTTGAATATACAGATGGTTTGCCATAGATAAAAAAATATCTCTTATAAATCCTGCAAGTTACGGTGGCGCCATCTTTTGACCAAATTGACCAAAAATTTACGGAAAATTAAAAGATGCCATAAATGTTTTTTTAAATTCATGATTGATGAAAGTAAGTTACCAAAATAATAGATACATAATAATAATGTATATGGATAAATATTGACTTTGTATTTATTAGAATTGTGTTATAAATTACGAAATATACTACTTACTATATATTAATTACTTCTATATATTACTTGTTTTGTAGTTGAACCGAAGGTATATTTTTTTACTTTAATGATGAATATTTTTATTTTTCACATTCTCAAACTTTTAAAATATCGCTATTTATCTCTTTGTCTAAAACACAGTCACATGAATAATGCTAATTGTTAAATCAATGATTAAAAAGATTCAATACATTTTGTTGTATCTATGAATGGTTATTGCGGTCAATGACACTGCAAGACGTTATGAACCATTGCATTTTTAAGGACATTAAAAAACCTATACCCAAAACATTTTGCCGTCTAATACCGCTGTAAGCAAGATTGTTTTATTATTAATATGCATTCTCGAGAATTAAAATTAATTCCTTTACGTTAATATATAACAATATAACACTGGGGTACGTATATAAATCAAATTTAAACAGTACTATTTTATGTTAGATTATAGTTATTAGCTTATATCTAGCCTAGATGACAGTAGAATTAAAGTGAAACAAATGAAAACTATGAATAGTAATTTTAGAAGGAATTTGTATAATGTTCTAATGTTTCAGTTCAAATTAGTTTAACTTTAGACTTGCTAACTGTTTGCTCAAATTGCTTATGGTATGGTATGGTTAAAAAAATATTTCCAATCCTTCCACGTTGTATGTTTCTGGAGAAAAAAACAAAACAAAGAAACATCACTTGACTGGCCTGGACTGTTAGTTTAACATTAAATATTTTTATTTATTTTACATATTCACGTATACATCAGAAAATATTTCGAACAATGAAGAACCAAAAAAAGTTCCGGTTTGGAAAGCCACAGAAAGCTGATCACCCACTTGCGAAGTTAAAAATTCAACACGCAAATAGGCATACGGGATTACTTATATGAAAATTCACGTTTTCTGTGTTTGGTATGTTACATACTTAAAAATTTAATTATATACAAAGCAACCTACAACCTAAATAATTAAAGAAACCTGCATTTTCTTTAACTATTTCCGGTAATATTGTTTATAAATAACGAAGATAATGACATTTTTTCATTTGATTGAAGTGAAAATTTGTATTCTTATTGATTCCGAACTGTCCCAATGAACTCAGAATTAACTTTAAAGCGGTCACAATTCTCTTAATCGCGTTTAATTTATTCTGCATTCTAATTGTCGTTTTAAGTCCCGTACAAAATGGAGAAATGGTACCAATAAATTTTTGCGTATACATATCTTATTAATAATTTTAAATACAAATTGTGTCTACACTTAATACCCATAGGTACAAAAATATAATTTATTACCAAAGCGCTTTAATCTAGCCTAGATTACTATAGAATAAAAAAAATATAAATAATCAGTTCATATATCATATTAACTTTTTTGTTTTTAAAAATATAAATTCAAACAAGACATAAAATAAAAATTCAATGGTTTGATGATGCTGGCGGCGTTTGTAGGCCTATTTAATTTTTATAGCAATTGTATATGAATATTGGAAATCTTGATTAGTTAAGAAAGCTTTTATGAATTATTTATTACTTTGTTTTAAATGCATAGATTAGTTCGAAAGTTATTATTATTCGATAAAAATTACTTTCTCTCAATCTTATTCGAAATTCGAATATCGACGGCAACAATATTCGAATTTCGAATTTAAAAATGTTTACATCGTATAGTTGTTATTATAAAGGTGGGAACTGACCAACGTTACGAGGTGTAATGTAACACGTTACACAGCGAGCATACGTGCAGTCAGTACGGCGTGTTACGGGGAAACCAGCGAGCAACGAGCCGCTCGTTGCTCGCTTTGAGTGCTCCACCCGGCTGTCGGTTTTTTGGCGAATCCTTTGACTATTACGCGGTTCAGTAACTACGCGTCGCACGTCGCGAGTGATCATGATTATGATTTTCTATAAATTGTGTCTTTTTTAAGTACTTTTGGTCCAATTAAATTCAACAGTTCTGCAAAATCGAGACCTGCGTACAAAGTTTTTATACTGTCCAGTAATCATTTGGTTTTTAATATTGCAATCAATAACAAACCACCTCATACGCCTGTGTTTTTAAATAAGTTTTATGTCCAGTAACATTTTTTCTTCTTCTTAATTTGGATGAAACAATAATTAAATAGAATGAAAGATATCAACATTATCACTATCACATCTCGTGAACACTGGCGGCGAAAGTGGAGCACAGAGTTTTGACGAGCATGTTACATCGATTTTAGAACACAGCGTAACATGCTCGATGCGTAACACGCTCGATGCGAATGCTACATTACACCTCGTAACTTTGGTCAGTGCCCACCTTAATACTACGCAAGTTTTTATTCCTATGAAACAGAGGTTTTATTGCAATATGGCCACTACGCCATCAATGATAATAATAACACTTTATTAACATCACAATAACACAAACCATGAGAAGTAATGAAAGAAGACAAAGTAGAATGAAAGAATGTATTTGAGCGGTCTTAGTGCTAAAAGCAGTAACTTCCACACTGAGAATTATCTTTTTTAACTTACAGAATAATTAATTAAAGTAACATTGTCTCGTGTGTCATTTATCTTACAATTAATTTTACCTGAAAATTAAAATAGTCTAAACTAAAGAACTCCATGAAAGCTTAAACTCGATTTGTCAGAAAGCAAGGAACGGGCACTTTAGTTAAGAGAAAAAAATTAATCTAAAAACATTTAAAATTTCCAATAATAAAATATTTTGCATGAAAAACATGAGCGACCTTGTGATGTCGGTTATTAATTAAAGATAATCAGATTATACTTAATCTAAACCGAAAAGTAGAATCTTGTACCCCGAAAATTCTCTTTGATGATTGTTTGAACTCATAAGTTAATTAAATGGTCGTTTTCGCCCACTTCCCCTATTATTTTCCTCATCAGTATTTTAATGAATAAAGAGTGTTCCTTAATTTACTCAACAAAACTTAATTTTATACGATGTTTATGTGACCTTTCATTTTAATTGTAAAACGTTATTTATCTATGCTTATGATATCAGGTATTTCTATATAACTCTGTTGGCATTGTTTTATCGCAAAAATAACATACAAATTACCTGGCGAGGGATGTATAAAAAAAAGGGGGAGTGTACTTACGCGCGTAAGAAGTTATACTTCTTTGGCATTATTAAAAATAGTTTTTGATTGCATGCAAATAATTAATTACAATTAAATAATCAAACACTGGATAAGGAGTCATCATAGTCAATAAAGATCAGTTTACATTTGAAAAATTAAATAAATAAATATTTATTTTTATTCTCTTACATTATCTGTAACATAAATTCTATTATTATTCGAATGTTGTTTTTAAATTATGTCCAATGCCGTAGCATCTACCGTGGGCAACTTCATACTGTTAATTTTGTGTCACGGTGCGCGCGCATCGTAAAATTTCACTCTCATAAATTTTTCATAACGCGCCTAAAGAAGTATAACTTCTCGATGTGCTTTCACATAAACGATGTAACAACTTCACCCTGCTGGTTGAGAATGCTATTTGATCAGTAAATCGGATGGAAATCTGTCTTCCTTCATTAGAACGGTTTGATAATCGTACATATTATACTCTATCATGATGCCATAAATTCCTGAGTGCTTCTATGGTAAAGAGCGTGATTAACATAGCACAATAATTTATCACAAGAAAAGCTGCTAATCTTGTGTGACTCCAAATAAGTGTTTGTGTTATAGAAGTCTCAGTTTTCAAATATCTATGTAATTTTTTGGTTTTAAATCTCAGTGCAAACTCTTTGTTCATCACAGTTTAGGTGTGAAGACGTCAAAGGACCCGACTTGGTGGTGGTAATGGTCAAAGAGCAATTAAAATGCAGATGGGACATGCTCCTTGATCCCAATGCCGCATGGTAGTACGCAAGTCACGTAGCGCCGGAGGGCACGACACTGACATGATAGTTTTATAGCACTATTATCACTTATTGATCATTGTTTGTTAGTATTATAGATACATTAAATCATAGCTTAGCTTTTCGACGTAACCACCCTTCTAGTCAAAATCAGCTGAATTGCGACTCAAATAAACGTAGAATTACCGACACGCAAAAACAATGATCATTAAAAACTATAAAGGTTTTCACTAACCGAGCGTACATGACCCAGGGATTGTTAAATCCGCAAGTGAAGCCAATCAATTAATTTAATAGCGCTGCTTAAGTCGAGTCTTAACAAAGCTCATTTTTTTGTATGTGCCAACTATGTTGGAAAGTTTACCAGCAAATGTATATATATATATACTTATTAGCTGGAGGGTAGAAAGAGAGAAATCTCAAAAACTCACATTCAAACAATCGAACTAGCTAAAACCCAACCTACCAAAACCTAATGAGCCAAAGCAACGAAGTCGAATAAACAACAATATTTCAACAATAACTGTGGCAAAGACTCGCCAGGGATAGGAAGCACTGGAAACAGGTGGAGGAGGCCTTTGTGCCACAATGGCAAGCTGTACAAGAGGAACGCTGTGCAACAAAACCTTCTTAAAGAATTTTTTTATTTTTTATATACATATTTATATTTTTGTAAACTTTCTCTTGTACTAGTTGAAATAAAGGCTTTGAAATTGAATATATACTTATTAGTATTAGCAATATGCGACATTTTACTGGTTGATCCATTTGGCAGTTTAAATTCATACTTTTTGTATGAATACCATAATTAAAATAATGGGCCAAACACATCCTGTATTGAACTATCCAAGTTGATAAGCCGCGAACTAGATGATCAGCCCTGCGATTCTGTAACTCACTTCACGAACTCACACAGTGGTTTTCGCATCGGCGGTCGCTCTCAAATCAGTCAGGAAGCAGTCATTTTATGATTTGGCATTCTGATAAACAATAAAGTACAAGCTCCCACCTTTTCAGAATGCCAAATCATAAAATGACTGCTTCACGACTGATTTGAGAGCGACCGCCGATGCGAAAACCGCTGTGTGAGTTCGTGAAGTGAGTTACAGAATCGCAGGGCAGCTATCCGGTAATCTGAATGTGGACGACTGAAGCACGTCTGTGACGCGATGATATTATTGTTGAATTTGCATTCATATTAAATTGTTTATTGTGAGAATCCTTGTCAACTCGATGAATAATAATAATAATTTATTTATTGCAAGAATATGGTACAAACATGGGTAACGGTACGGTACAATCGTAAGTTCTTGTTGTCTTAAGGAATTTTACATTTTACATTATCAGTCAAAGTCAATTCTTATATTGGTTGTATTGTACATATCATATCATACTTTATTAAATGTATATCAACTACACTATCTCCCGCAAATAATCATTTATTGAATAGTACATTTTTTCCAAAAGTAATACACCAAGTCGATTTTTAAGAACTCTAGTCGGAAGATCTTTTAATTTTTTTGGTAATTTGTTGTAAACTTTAATTGCCATACAAATTTATAGGATAAATAGGATTTGCAGTGTCAAATATATTATGCATATAAAAATCTACTAGGGACTTAAATTCATAAGTATTCATCTTTTTATCTTCAACCAATAAGTATCGAAATATAGCGAGGAAATGCTGCCAGCATTAAACGTACACACCACAGGGAGCAAACTTTTTAAACTTGTTTTAATTTTCTATTTTTAATTTTTATTACTATGTACCTTAAGAATATTGTAAATAATGTATGTATATTGGACATAAATACAAATATTGTCTACTTAGGGCTTTATAATTTGAATAAAGCTTTCGATAAAAAACAAAACACTTAAACTCCCAAAATACATGTTGAAACATTGAAGCAGTTATAATAGCCAGTTTTTTTTTAAGTTACACCAAGGCCACCTCCGTGGTCTTCCCGAGGAAGACTCAGTGGTTAGCGTTTACACCAAGGAAGCAGCACCAGGTGTAGACGTCTACCATCAGATCGCGAATAATATTGCTGAGAGGATCACGTCACCAATATACAGGTATATGATGAAATACAAATAAAACTTCGAGTGTAAAAGTCCATCAAATATGTTGGTTATTTCGACAATGTGTTTGCGTCTTGTTCCCACGAGAATGTAAGTGCGTGCTCCTATTTCACCATGCCTTCTGCTGATAGAGGACAAATCTTTGTTGTTAATTTATGTAATCATTATTAATTACTTAAAATGTCACATGGGACATGGTGTAATTGTTGCAGCTCCTTACAAACATTTTGTAAAACAAAAAAACGGCGATTAAAAAGAGTGGCGGGGAATTTATTGCCAGTTCTTCTCTCCCGTTCTACGCCCTTGATTTGAGAACTGGCGGTAAATGTAAAATTAAAAGCATTAATATGTATTTCTTTACTGACAAGTCATAAGTGTACATTATGTTACCTATGTGATTAAATGATTTTTTACTTTACTTTAAATAAGAAGAATATGATTTAGGCTTTGAGGATTACGGTAAATATGTTCGTTAGGATCTTGGATGCGTATTTATAATTTTCAATTTTTATTTCCATTTCTTTAAATATTTACGTGCAAAAGTTAGTTAGTCAATACGAATGAATGAATTTTGATTTGACTGAAGTCATTTTTTCTCGAAAGATCTTGTCGTCTCCTGAAAGAGACGTCTTACCAAAATGACCAACTTCCTTAAATGATCTATGAAACACACAAAATATGTCTGCCCCACATGGGTCACGAGACTTCAAACATAATGTGTGTTTATCTACTTGTGTACTTATGTTATTATCATTAAATATAAAAAAAACATGTACACACGTTACAAGTTATATTTCTTTGGCGTATAAAGATAAAAATCTATTCAAAAATTTTGTAGAAAAAACTACACTAACAAAAGAAAAAACTAAAATGTTGACTATAGCTAACTTCAGGGTGTCGGTTTTTTGTGACGGATTGCGCGCGCATCGTAAAAATTTACTCTCATCATTTTTCCCTAACGCGCCAAAAGAAGTATAACTTCAATAAATAAACAAAACATTTCCAGGTTCCTCGGTTACAATCGCACTACACCCGCTCCAGAAACGACAACAAAACACAACTGGGACAAAATAGAAATCTTAGAAACTCAAAACGCTAAATCTTTTCCGCCTGTGAACAACGATATAGGAGAAAAAGACGTTGAAGAATTATCAGAAGATATAAACAAGAAAACCGACAGAAAACCAGAGAAATTTACGCTATATTCTAATTACTTGCCCCTTGGTAAGTTAGAGTTTGATAGTAAGAATGATACTAAAGATGATGATGATGACTTTGGTTTCGATGATGTGGAAAGTGATGAAGATATTAAGCCACGGCAAGGGCCATTTACATTCGTTTTGGAGCTGATGTCCAGTTTGATCCAGTTAATTTATGGTGGGATTGTGGCGATATTCCAGAGGAGACCTGCGCAAACTAGTTAGATATTTATTTAGATAATAATAATTATCAATAATAAGATACGTAATATTAATTATAGTTAAATATAAAAAAAATACTTCTAAGCCATCAAAACAACGTTTCAGCGAGATCACGGATTTTAAATCCTACTGCAACTTAAAACCTTGATTTACTATGTAATTTTTAATTGTACAATTGATATAACAGAATTGAGACTGTAGAAAAAATTATATTTAGATAACTACGTTTCACACTCTTAATTTGAAATCCAAGACAGATTTAATAAAGCGCCATATTAAAAATGTATTACTGTAGTTATAATAATTAGTATATTATCTGAATTTAAATTAAAGTTAAAGTACAGGCCATACCTTAGACGTGTCTGCATTTTTTTATAACATATTTTATATCACTATTTAATAAAAACTGTACATGTAAAAGAAATAGTATAACTAAAATAAGATGTGAAATTCTAGTTTAAGTAACTTTCTATAGACTCCATATTAATAAAAGATTTTTTTTTTCTTAGCGTTACATTAACTATTATTTTAACGTACAATTATACACTGGGCGGTTTCAGTTTGTGATTCGTAAAAAGATGTATATCACTTTTAAATTAGGACTGTGCCATAATCTAACTAAAATTTATTATCTTAGGTAATTTAATTATTGTAAATAAAGGAATACTCAATAATGGAATATTTTTCGTCGCAAAATATCGAATGACGTTCAGTTTCGCGGTCATTTGGAAGGGAAGGCTAAATTAGCCTCCAAAAAGCTTGGTGTACTCAGCAAGGCGAGACGGTACTTCACTCTGGGGCACCGCTTGCAACTCTATAAAGCGCAAATTCGGTCCCACATGCAATACTGTTCTCAGCTCCGGGAACTGGAGCACCCCAGTACCAGCTCCTTCCACTTGACCGTATTCAACGAAGAGCGATTTTAATCGTCGATGCCCAATCATTTTCCGTGCGGCTTGATCCCTTGGCGTTGCGTAGAGATGTGGGGTCTCTCTGCATCTTCTACCGCATTTATCATGGAGAGTGATCAGAGGACTTGTTCGGTCTAATACCTGCAGCTGAGTTTCGCTATTGGACGTCAAGGCAAAATACAAAATACCATCCGTATCACCTCGACGTCCGTCGTTCCACAACTGAGCTTTTTCTAAGGCAGTTTTTGCCGCGCACCACCACTATGTGGAACCAGCTGCCCACTGAAGTATTTCCGAACCAATTCGACTTAGGGTCCTTCAAGAAAAGAGCGTACCAATTCTTGAAAGGCCGGCAACGCACTTGCGAGCCTTCTGGCAATGTGAGTGTACCTATATGGGCGGCGGTATCACTTAACATCAGATGAGCCTACTGCCCGTTTGCCTCCTATTACAAAAAAAAAGTTCTTAAACTTGTTAAATAAGGGTTTAGAAACTGTAGATACTGCCTTTTTTCATACAATAAGAGCCTCAAATAGTTATTGCTTAAATATCGCTTTGCAACAAAAAAAGGTTTATGGATAAGAAAGGTTGATGTACATTTTCTTAATAGTTACAAAGATACAACATTTGTAAATAATTATAAATTACACAAAAATATGTCCTTTCAAATGAAAACGCCTTAGAAAGCCTTCTGATCCACATTCCATAGTGTATACTGCATTATGCCAGTCGATATTATCTTACTGCGTAGTATCGGGGTAAGTCTGTAATGCTGAAAATTTAGCGTGCCCAACGTGCCATTCTTAAGACATCCTATATGAAACCTTTTCACTACTCAGCATCTAATTAAACAAAGCTTTTAACGGTAAGACAACTATACTTAATGGCGATATGTCAATGTCGTTTTTGGAAACAAACACCGACCACACACGCAAACCTGCAAATAAGCACGCACGCACGCAAAAACCGCACTTTTTCTCATTCATGCATCTTTAACCACTTTCTTAAAACCAAAATTTTTCACTAACGATTCAAAACAAAACTTAAACAACATCTTCTCAACCTGCCCTGCGATTTTGTAACTCACTTTTCGAACTCACACAGCGGTTTTCGCATCGGCGGTCGCTCGGTGAAAAGTGAGTTACAGAATCGCAAGGCAGATCATGGTGAAACGGAAAATTTTAGTTTTGTGCAACAATAGTTTAAGTATAAAAAGTATGTTGTGTAGAAATTATTATGTCAAGTAATGTCAAACATGTCCAAGAAGACTAGCTGCCCACGACATATGGAATCCTCGTGTTGGGGCTAGTGCACTTTCTGTTTAACTAAATATCCTTTGTTGTATAATAAAGTTTGTTCTTTCTTTATTTCATAAAAAAAGTTTAATAAGGAGAGTATTATATTTTAATTACAAAAGTATAATCTAAATCGCTAAACTAAATTTGGAAGGTTAGTTTTTGTTTAAAGACATCATAATCGACACTATTAAAATACTAATTTAAATAATTATATGTGCTTTATTCTAATATATGTATTCGGTTTAAGTTTGTTAACTTAGAATAATTTTCAGTCTCACTTGAAGGTTAAACGAACGAATTGAGGACGTCTTTCTTAAAGTCGGTTAAGGAAAGCCATTTTCCTGCTTTCACTCGACATCAAAGTCTTGACGAATTCAAACGATTTCCACCCCAGTGTGAACGTAAATTGAATTTTTTTATCTTTCTCTCATAAGATTGCCTTTGATAAGGTTGATAAAGATAATAACTTGAAATGGCTCTGGCATCTTCAATTTAACATGTATTATTCGCAATTTTGGCATCATCTGAGACACAAAAATTATATTAAGCCGCCCAAAATACAACAAGAAAGCTCTGATTTTTCTTCAACTTATTAAATATAACGTTAGAACAGCCTGCAATGATAGAATTCAACCCTTATTTAAATGGTAAAATGTCCCAAACCCCATTGTAAGGGGTATGTAGGAATCGGTCACTTTACCCTACCTGAGACGGAGGCGACGACCATCACTTCTCTTATGGAGCCATGTTCATTTATGTCTTTTTCTGTTCTGTTAGGGGAAAGGCGCGTAGACTTTTACAATGTTCAACTAGGCCACGTGTTCGAACCCGTACTGTAATAGTAAAATGGACTTATTTTCCGCTCTTAGACGCTCGTTTGGTCTATTATACGTAAAGTCCTGGCTAATTCAGCCTAGCTCCTTCCAGAAACTAAGAAATTTCCTGGGCACTTCGCAGACTTCTCTGAGTGACCTCACTGCACCCAGGATTTCTGTTCGTTGGGTAGCTACAGTCTGGCTACCGCAGATTCCTTAGCGCTGAAACATCCTTTGCACAAGGTACTGTCTGTCACGCCTAGGACAAAGAGGACACGGCGGCCGTAATTGTCCCTATCATATTTTGGAGATTGCTAGACAAAGCTATGAAGAAAAATGCCCAATTAGACGCACAAAAGGCCGCCCCATACCTTAAATACGAGTATATACCCATACCCTGTAGCCTGTAGGTAACTTTCACTTTATACTAAAATAAAATATACTTTAAAATGTTTAAGCTTCGAAAAACGAATCCGACAGTGATCCCCTGAATCCAACTCCATTAGACCTTTTACGAAATGACAAAAAATAAAGCCGGCCTATTAACAAATGTCACGAATATGCCTACGGGCTATCAAATAAATTATATTTAGCTCGTGAACAATATTCTTATTCTTAACAAATATATGTGTAACAATTATTTTTAAATGCTATTTTTCATAGATAACTTTGTCGTTGTCAACGTTGTTACAGTTTAGAATAAAAGGTTTTAAAGGAGGTTTATTGTTCATGCCTAATGGCTAAGGCTAAAATTTGAGGTGCATAGTAGTGTTGGCTTTAGCGTGCAACTCTCATTCCTAAGGTCGTATGTTCAATTCATGGATATTTCTGTATGCGATAGTGCCACTTACTCGTACGATGAAGTAAAACATCGTGAGGAATTAGCTTGGCTTAGATATAGATGGCGCATGTAAAGCACAGAAATTGGATATCCTACTTGGCTATTGGAAACAACAAATGATCTCGAAACGGATACAGAAATCTGTAGCCAAGACCAGCCACTACTTTTTTTTCATCACTTCTACCACGCTCTTACGACGAAAGTAATCGCGGAACAAAGGAATGTCATCTACTTATCTATAAAAGAAGAATATTAAAAAAACGTATTCGAGGACAATAAACCATAAATGGTTTACTCCACCGAAATAGTATTATTATTTTTGATTCAAACTAAACAATATTACTGACTTGTTTCAAGAATATTATTCCACAGTTGGTTAACTAATAAAGTTCGTATAAAATAAAGGAATATGTGTGCTACAGTAAAAGATTCAAACTATTAAGTATACTCAGCTGTATTTATTTGTAAAACTGTTAGAAAATACACTTATTATATACATAAGACCACTAAACAAATCGTGTCGCATCATCTAAGTATGAATATGAATACATACTAAATATCACTCTATGTAGAAGATTGCGTTTCAAATAATTGACAAAAATGGGAGATTTCTTAAACTATCGTATAACATATGGCATTTGTTTAAAATCTAGAGAAAATAACGCTATTACTATCATGTGTTACGAGATAAATACCTCTTCAACAGAGTTATGAGTTTTCTTGGACGACCTGAAATTTTCATCAAAATACATATCATTTCGTTCTTCATAATCTTTATCGAAGAAATAAAACAGATTACTACAATTTCAGAAACTAAGATTAATTTATGGATTGGGCTGTAGCGTTGTTACATTACAATCATAGATTTTTTTTAATTAGAACACTTTTTAGTACAAAAAGTATGTATAACGTGGTATAACTATTTGAAAAATCTAAAGCTTATAAACAAGGGGCTGTAAGTATCTTAGAGCTGTTGATAAAGTGGATTCATCCTTCGCCAACTCAGCGACCATCTCTTTGGATCTGTTGTTAGCGTAATCATGGCCGCAGTCGTGTCGATCTACCATCTTGGAGAGAGCCATGCTGAGTTGTGCCCGCGCACCACCGCTAGATGACTCCGCAAGAGACTTCATAACTTCAGGCGAGAAACCCTGGAAAATTTAAGTTTTCAACCTGAACATATATCCATGATTTAATAGACTATAATAATTATAATCCAACCCTATATGAGACTTGGCCTCAGATTGCATCAATTTTTTTGATAATTTTTATTTAATAGACAATTTGGTGATCAGCCTTGGTGAGTGTTAGATGCGCATAGACAGACAGTCCATTGGAACCTACAACCTAAGGGATGTAAATCGCACGCTGAAGCCACTAAGCCGTAACACCTTACAGTTAAATAATGTACTCGTATATATATATTACGTACACACAAACACGTAGGATTACTGGACGAAAGTTTTTTGACGCACGTGTGACGCAGACTGCTGGATTATGGTGAGTTTTTATCGATATAAATAGAGAGAATCAATACAGTTATGTGTGTAGATTTAGCTATATTTTCTTTAGACTTTACAAATATTTTTAAATCAAAACAGGCGTACCTCTGAAAAGTGGGCCGTTTTCAGATTCACTTTACAATTTATCCTGCTTCTGTGTTTGAATTCATATTGTCTATTCATAAATAAGTTACCTATTCGTAATGTACACTAACTTGTATCAAATCTCAAAGTAATTTCGTTCTCTATAAAACTACAAAGCACCTACATCCTAACTACTTTGTTTTCCTGCTGCCGCGCCACTGAAGGTCAAAGAACTCGTTATGGGGAAAATAAACTGGATTTTTATTGACTGTCTCTTGATTCTTATCAATTGTAGTCATTTAGAAAAACTCAAACAAAAGTCTGGGAGAAAATTGTTATACTGAGACAGAATTTTCTTTTCATATATCGAATGAGCTATGGTATTGTTATAATCAAAAATTGCTTCGAGGCTTCATTAAAATACATTAATAATAATGTATTTGCAATATTTTTTAGTTCATAAATATAAATGTATCTTTTCTACTTCTAAATGAACTAAGTATATTTAGTTTCACTGCTACTTATATGAATTCGCCTTTTGTGTAGCCAATAAAAGTTTTATTGTTTAGTGTAGACATCCCAATGATTTATTTGTGCCTCCATCTTTGCTACGTAAGGTCATAAAATCAGAAAAGATAAAAGATAATCATCTAAACTTGCTAAAAGCAAGTTGCATTAGTTTAATATTATAGTTGCGAACATCAGACCGATATATAACATAGTGTAAACTCTATATAACGTCACTCAAGAGACTGTGCATATTTTGACGTTACAGAGAGTGGGTGTAAAATAGAAAGTAGAAAAATCTAGAAAACGAAAAAGTTTACTTAATTAATTACATAAAAACAATTCTTATTTGAACGCTATTGCATATAGTATGCTATTTTCGCCTGACGTCCTTTGCTGCACCAGAAATTATGATGTATTTTTTTACTTGTTTTATTCATATCTTGCGATATTGAGGCATCTTCGTGATAAATCACGCTCAAGCAATCAAAATTTGTAATCAAAATAATGGATTTCTTAGAAAGTTCGGTAGGTATGATGCCGACAGTCGATTTATTACGGGCTAGGACAAAAGAACGTACACAGTTCCGCAGTTTTAACTAATTTCGGCAACATAAAAAGTACATTTTATTATTTAATTGTCTTTATTGAGAGTGGATGTAATGCTATGTAGAGTGTATCATTGTATGGTAGACAAGCTAAACCAACCAAAGCCAAGTGATATCGACGCTTTGGGGAGTTCGCCGTTAAATGGAGTAACGTTACCTGGAGTTTTCACTTTATGTTAAAAAACATATCATGAGTTATTCATTATAAAGCTATGTATTCTTAAGAAATTAAATGTTCAGACTCACTGTATGTTCAAGCTATATAAAATAAAACAGTAAGCATGTTATTTGTTATGGTAAGCTAGTATTATGGAATTTGAAATGTTAATTCCTTAATGGAAGTCTTGTGATCTTGGAATAATCTGATACTAAAGTGCTCATACATAACATATGAAAAAATTTTATTTTTATGTTTAAACTTGATTGAATTGGGAAGGTCAAAGTTTTTTCCTCTCTATCTAACGCGTGCGTATTAAACAGATAGGAATAACACGATACCAGGCAAATCATTTTATTCAGACCCTAGTTTAGTTCGGATTAAGAAATTCCATAAAATATTGTTAATATTTAAGAAGTAACAATGTTTTTACGTTAGTAATTTAGTATTAATTTAAATATTACCTTAATACTTGTACTTACACTGTAATCAGACAACCTCTGACGTTTAGCATCTCTGCTCAGTAGATCGTACAGCAGTAACAGTCTCAAATTAGACGTTGACAATTTGCCTTTAGATGAAGGTTCCGCTGGATTCACTCTGAGACCTGGAAGCAGAGGATAAAATATGTATGTATTGTGTATATATTGCAGGTTATCAGCCTCGGGTTGTGTATTGGGGCCGATTTAATACATGATTATACGAAATATCTAGGCACTAAGCTACTTACGTCGAGTACAGTAAGTAGGGTTAAAGCCGCTAAAAAGGATTAACTACTTAAGTTACGTAGTTAATGCAATAAATATTTCTACGTTTGATTTATTAGAAAGGTTTTTACATGTCTAATCAGTTGTCAAACGAAGAAGGCGAGATAAAGCATCTTACCTTCCCACACGTCTACAATCCTTTCATCATCTGGATCATTGGCCATTCTTATCATTTCCCTGACATTTGCCGATAGATACTGCAAGTTCTCTTCATCAAAATCATCAGAACGGCTGGAGACCTTCAAATCATCATATGGTGGCAGTAAATGTGGGTCATTTGGTGCTGGATCCACAATAGGATTCACCTCTTCATTATGAGCTGCGAGAAGGTGTCCATCTGACTTGGTGCCTTGAGGTTTGATCAGGCTGTATTGATGCTGCTCGATAGGGAGGAGGACAAATTGTTGCGTTTTTGGGAAGTTCTTGTTAGGGGAAATACGGTCTGAAGGTTTTGGTGGTGATGATGGTGAATACAGGCCAGGTTTGTGGAATGGTGTAGTTATATCTCTGAAACATCACATTTTATAAGTATTTCAGTGAAATAAGGTCATGTAACCGTTATCAAGGAGATAATCGATGCAAGACTCATACACCGATCAGTTCGATAATGATTTAAACCACCAGTATATTCTAATAAAGTTATATTTTTATATTCCTGCGTTACGGTTATATGCATAATATGGTTTTTTTATGGGACTGGAGGCGAAGGAGTAGGAGGTGGGACACCTAAAGTTAAGTGTCTACCGCCGCCCACGGACAGCCGCAGCAGGAGGTTTGCAAGTGCGTTTCCGGCCTTTAAGATAGTGGTACGCACCTCTTTTGAAGACCTCTAAGTTGTAACGGTTCGAAAATACCTGGAATGCATGCTCGTACCATAAAGTGATGGTGCAAACAAGAAGTGACTTAGAAAGCGCTCTGTTGTAGAACGCCAGACGGAGACGCCAAAGTGGCACGGTTGCAAATTGGCAAGATTTTGCGTATTTAAGTACATTTAATTGCATGTAGGTTACTATATTATTAGCTATATTATTATATTATTAGTTATAAGATTTAGGTATATATATATATATATTTCTTAATGTTTTTTATCTAGGTTAATTGGTGTGGGTGTAAATATTGTGTCGTTCTATCGAATTAGTAATTAGGTACTGTAAAGATAGAATAAGGATATGGAATAAATAAACATAATAGAAACACCTTAAAACATACAGCCCATCTTTTGCCAACTTACGTGTAAATTTATACTATTTCGGCCAAAGTTCATTCCTATAATATGTTAATTAAGCATTTTAGTATTGAAAAAGCTAAGCGACAGAAAATGAAATCATTTTTTGTCAATATTAGGATTGTTTAAGCAATTTAAACCCAAACCTTGAATTTACATCTGACATTTTTCCAGAAGTAGCTGTAAAAAGAAAAGCAAGAAGGAGAAAGGACCATCACCTAAGCCGATAGCGCATAGCCCATCCATTCAAGTTAGCAAAATAATCGAAGTTCACATACAATGGTTTGTGTGTTGTAGTTGTTTTTATAGGAACCTCGTCTTTCATTTCAAAAGACATTTGGTCAGTAAGATGAGCGATGATCTGCATGGCTACGGGCAGGTAAGAGTCGGAGACGCGGACATCTTGTTTCGCTGAGTCGACCTGAAATTGTTATGAATATACTCGTACATTACCTAATTTAATGTTTGTTTATACTAAGAAATTTGCGTGTTATTCCCACCGCACGAGAATGTTAGTGCGTGCTGCTATTTCACCATGCCTCCTGCTGATAGAGGACGAATCTTTGTTTACTAATTTATTTCATTATTATTAATAACATAAGATGTCATGTGGAACATGGTGTAATGGTTGCAGCTTACAAACATTGTGTAACACAAGAAACATAGCGACTTAAAAGAGTGGCAGAGAGTTTATTGCCAGTTCTTCTCTTCCGTTCTACGCCTTTGATTTGAGAAATGGCAGTAAAGTCTACATTTTGTTACCTATATGAATAAATGAATTTGATTTAATTTGATTTGAATCAATTAAGTTTATAAAATAAATAATATTAAGAAGTAAAGAATGTCTTTGGTACAATACTGGTGATGCAATATTTTTCGTGTTAGTTTACCAGATTCAATATTATGGGGAGTAACTTCTGAGTGACCTGAATTATAAATATTTTTTCCAGCTAAATATGAAAACCATATTCAGTTCAGATGTTCCTACAGAAGTGAATACACTTTGCTAAACAGGTACTTAAGATTAAACATAAAATTAAAAAAGTTACAAGTATAAAGTCCCAAAACTATCTGTCATCAATGGAAAGTACCTTTAATATCGTATATACGATATTTTGCTGAAAGAAAACTTTATTTTATTTTTCTTGTCTTGTCTTGGGACGCTCTGTATAGTAAGTGAACATTTTAGACAATATTAAAAGTATATTTTTGATATTTTTAGAAACATAAAAATCCTATTCCAGCCAGTTTTGGAAAGCGCTATTGTATGTAAAATTATGTTGTTATGAATATTTAATTTGTGACATCGTTTTTCCATCCATCGCAGCTTTGTTAGTTCATTTGTCACACTTTTATTTTTTAATTGAAGTGTCGTATGGCTCAAATACAGAATTTTTTTTCTTGGTCAAATTGGTCCAAGTGTCAAGATGTATCAAATTAATATTATACAACATAACTGTTACTCACATAATCCTTGAAAGCATTACGAGAAATTCGCTTTCATAAGCTTTCCAATATTTATTATATTATGTAATAAACTTACCGCATTCCTCCCGGAGAGAAGAAAAACCGCCAGAAAAAGAACGTGTTGTAACATTATGGTTATCTGAAAGTATAGAATAATTATTATTATGTAACTATGTAAAAGTCAACCTTATTATCTATGGCTAGTATATATAAACGTATTATATTGTCTTTATAGTCTGTAATACTTTGCCTAATTTATTTTAATCCATCAAAATCTTACAGTACTTGAATAACAAGGGACAAGAAGTTCAAGGAACTCTTAACATTATATGCGTTTACAGGAAGTAACATTGTTTTTTTTTTTAATAATACTTACATATTGTCTATTATTTACACATAAAAAAACTTCGTTAACGGTGTTATAGGAACGTACATTGTCCATATTACGTTCCGTTTGCTTACGTTCTCTTGACAACGACGAAACTCGTGTTATAAAAATGTTGATTTCCCGTATTGATTCGGTAAAGAAATTGTAATTGGACAGTTCTTAAGCATAGCAAAGTCAAAAAATTTGAGCCGCAATTTTAATACCACCCAATATTCACTCACCACTTACACTTTCTATAGTAACAATGCCTTGACGCTTAAAATTCGTATATGTCATACAATTGGTCCTGAATACTAATGTAATGCCACAAAACTTATGTGACGCAGTGGGGGGATGCCAAAAAATATAGAAGTGAAGTTGTAAGGCGGTTGGTACTCGAATATTAAAATTTTGTATCACATAGGTAAACAATAATAATCACAGAATTCGTTGTATTTGGGTTGGCTCTAGTTTCTTACTTTCTTAGCATATAACGTTTTAATTGGAAAAAAAATTAGTGTAACATTTTTGCGTTACGTGTCACATTTTTCCGTTACGCGCCATGTTGCTTTTTGAAGTCAAACTTCTTTATCGGCGTTAAAATATGACATATAGTATGTTTTTGACTTTGAAGTTTGACAAGGAATTACATGTTCGAAGTCAAACTTCTTTATCGGCGTTAAAATATGACATATAGTATGTTTTTGACTTTGAAGTTTGACAACGGATTACATTTTCGACTTGAAATTTGCTAATCGCAATTTGCAGCAATTAATTTGTAAATTGTATGCTAGGCAGTGTATCAAAATTTACTGTGTTAAAAGAAATAGTTTCTAATAAGGTCATAAAGAAGTTTCACTTCTTACGTGTGTACACCTAGTACACGCACACATTTTTTTTACATCTTTTACAGTTATATTTTTATGATTTAGCTCAGTCACCCTCGCGAGCGGAGAAGCAGAGCGGATCTGGCGCCCAAAAGGCATTTACAGATTATGTATAAAAACAATCAAATTCAAAATACTAAAACATTATTAGCTGCCTACGACACAGAGAATCCTAGTGTGAGGGCTGGTGCACTTTTTTTTTCAACTAAACATCCTTTTTTATATCTAATATATAAAATTCTCGTGTCACAATACTCCTCCGAAACGGCTCGACCGATTCTAAGGATTTTTTTTATGCATATTTAGTAAGTCTGAGAATCGGCTACTATCTATTTTTCAAACCCCTAAGTGATACGGGGTATCCATCCCAAAGATTTATTTTTATTTTTTCGACAAAACTTTGTTTTTATTTTTGTATGATACAACATACAAAAATACATACAACCCTTAATTTTTTTCTACCCTCTACGATATACCCCTATATTTTATTTGTTAGTTAAGAACTTATAACTTGAACTCTGAGGTTTATATAGAAAAAATCACAGAAAAACCTAAAAAGTTTTAATTCCGGAAAACCGAACAGTCTCTGGGGTAGCATAGCAAAATATTCCATGTTGGTATGTACTAAAAAGGTATGCTAGGCATTCGCGGGGGCAGCTAGTTGTATTATAAAGGTTTTTTCTTTTCATACATACAATGTGAATGTATAATGATACATACTAATAAACACACATCTGTGCATGAAATACTAAGTACGGTCTTATTTAAAAAATATCATAATATTAGATACGTCTTTGCACGCTAAAATATTTACGCGTAAAAAAGTACAAAGATTATCTTAAGTAGATCTTCGCCACTCAAGTCACGGCCGCGATCACGCGATAACGACTGTACCGATTTAATTCACTATTTATACTTGTAAAAGGTTCTTACGGAAAGAAAAATTAATAAAATGTAAGCGGGTCATTTGTTGAAAACATACCGTTTCCCCTTTTTTATTTAGGGGGCTAGGGGAGGGGGGAAAACGAGCCTACGGGTCACCCAAAAAGCCCATGGACACCCATTTTAGTCGGTGCGTTGCCAGCCTTTGAGGGAACAGTATGCTCACTTTTGAAACATTTGGAGGTCGGATCTCCCAGGGAAGATGCCCAACAAAAGATGATTCCAAATTTAGCTAGTTCGCAAATGTCTAGTGAAGCGGACTGTGGATGACTCTCACAATGTCTGCCTTTACCGTAGGAGCAATTGTTATTTGTGCACATTGATAGAGATATCCATAGGTACACCGAGTATTGAACGAACGACCTGAGGATGGAGTCTTAAGAGTCATACTCTTAAGACACTGAGCCAACTCACCTAAGCTAATATTATTGAACACAGAATTGTTCACACAACCTGGTTTTGACCTCACGACTTCAAGGTTCCGTTTCTTACCCAAAAACACTGACATTAAGCTCTGAACATAAATATATAACTCTAATTATATATAGTTTATCCCAAATCAGCAAATAAATTAAACGTTTTATTAATGAGAAAAATTTAACGCATTGTAAAAAAAGTAGTAACTCGTTTACGTGCAATAAAAAAATCCAACGTTTTAAGGTAAGAACATAAATTTTATCGGTGTCGTAAACTGAACAATGAGTTTAGGAGATGCAAATTGACTGTTGAGATGATAAATTTTAGGTGATATCAGAATGGCTTGAGATTCTGTAATAAAATGTACTAAGGCGACATCTGGCGCATCTACAATTTGTTGAAGGTTTTTTTTTTAATGGCTCTGGCACGATTTGTGCATTAGCCAGCGTCAAGTATAAGATTTTTTATAATACGTGCTTGTCTTTTAGAAATTCGACCGTGTCCTCCATGTACGGTTTAAGCACTCGCCCGGTACCGCATGACCCTCCCAAAGGCCGAGAACAAATTTAAATTAAATTAAAACTTGCCCTCGAACCGGGAATCGAACCCGGTACCCCTCACCTAGCTGCCACTTAATAAGACCGCTAGGCTATGAGGCCCCTTTGAAGGTAGTTATTGCTTTCAATCAATTTGTCAATCTATATGTTGACAACATATGTCAACAGATGTTTTCGGACAAAAACTAAATTTTCGTATTTCATCATACCATCACTATACTATATTTCCATACTGATTTTATTGTTTATTCATGCTAAAAGACTTTTTTCTGAAATTTTCCATCTCGCAACCTTATGAACCCGGGAAATAGCTACTACCAACGTGCTTAAAAGCAAGAATAAAAACGATTCTAAGTATGTTTTGTAAACATTATTTTTCGGATTAACACGAGCTTAATGAAGTTGGTGGAGAATGGGAGAAAAATGCTCAAGATAGAGATAGATGGAGCCAGTTGAAGGAGACATATACAGGTTGTTTAGGTCTCCTTCATCTGTAGTTTTTTCGTCAGTTTTTTTTCTATTGGTCTATTCAAAAGACCCTTTTTTTAATAAATCGAAGCTTACAACAGCCAAAATCGATCATCTCGGGATTACCAACTAGATAAAATTCTTATAAAATAATAGTCATAGAATATTAATAGCCATCAAACGTTATTTCCCAAACATAACAGTATATTAATAACAGAATACTAGCGTAAATAACATACTATAGTATGTGGAATCGAAATAAACAACAGATTACAGTGAGATAAAACATGACAGCAAATAGGTCGTAGAAAGCCCCGCGGCCGTATAACGGACCTAGGATTTGTACTTGTCACAACCCACTTCCTTACACAGGCTACGACCAAAACGGAGGTTTAAATTGGACATTTCAAGAACCTTTTCTGGCATGAAAGCTGTTATTACCAACATATGTATTTTATTATAAATAATTATTCCGTAGCTCTGAGATTTTGTACGACCCATGAATTTTCTTTTTGAGCAGTGTTGGCCTAGTGGCTTCAGCGTGCAACTTTCATACCTGAGGTCGTAGGTTCGATCCCCGGCTGTGCACCAATGGACTTTCTTTCTATGTGCGCATTTAACATTTGCTCGAACGGTGAAGGAAACCGATATGTCTTAGACCCAAAAAGTCGACGGCGTGTGTACAGGCGTCAGGCACTGCAGGCTGATCATCTACTTGCCTATTAGATTTAAAAAATGATCATGAAACAGAGTCAGAAATCTGAGGCCTAAAGAGATTGTAGCGCCACTGATTTATTTTTTTACGATTTTTCTTAAGTTTGGATATAACATTCGTTTTATCCAAAAATATATAAACCTTAATAACTACGTTCAGTTATTTAATTACTAAGTACCGTTTGGTAAGACTTAAGTTTTTAGTTTACGTATAACGTAATTAACCATTAATCATTGTTAAGTGTAAACAGTCTTTATAAGTCCATTAATTATTAAATTTGACATCACTTCCATACATTTTTTACCGAGTCTCTGGTTTAAAAGTACGCCGTATTTGTTTAGCGTTTAAATCAATTCAGAATAAATTGACTATACTAAACTTGTATTTTTTTGTATATGGAACAAATTGAAATATTTCTTCGCATTTAATATACGTGATGAATCCTAAAAATCAAAGAAATCAATTTTTCCTTGAGTAACCTCCCTATCGAATATTGTAAAACATATATTTTTACTCCATTAAGAGCATACATTACGTTTATCTTTCTATAAATATGGTCGTTTTGCGTTGAGCTATGCCCCGTAAGATTTTTTACACATATGATAAGATTCCTGGTCAATTCGTGCAGCGGTCCGGAAAAAGATGCATTCGAGGCATTCGAGATATGGTGTTGGAGGACAATGTCGCGAATACCATGGACTGGAAAAATAACCAATAATCTATGACCAACTAAAGATCGGGGTCGATCGCCTACCCGTTGGTCTGAACAAAATGAGACAATTATGGATCTCACCATCCCTATTGCACTGAGACAAGCTGACGATAGACAGGTGTAGATTACCTTCAGTAATGAAGACTACGACGAAGATATAAATCGCTATGTTTCGGTAATGGTCCTTCGACAGCCAGTATTGCTTCATATAAATCTAAACATAACGACGTAATTTTAGTAATGCAGTGATATATACAAGACATAATAATAATATTATTACAAAAAAAGCTAATTGGTCAAATTGCTGGCTGATAAATAGCCAGGATAATTCGATGCGCAAAAATAGTTGTAGGTTTGTATTTAAACGAACACAGATACGTAAATTTTCCTTACTGGACAAAATCGGGCCAAGTTGTGAGTCGATACTAGAAATACATTGAAATATTAATTTCAAAACAAATGTTGGACGTGTATGGCAATTTTTCAATTATAAAACCTTTTATATGATTTATATATCAAGCATGGGTTGATATTAAAGTGGTTTTCACGTTTATATTCAAATTATTATTACGGACAGCTCGGATAAGCTTTTTTGGCGAAGTAAATAATTAAAAAAGGTATTTGAAAACTTTTAAAGTCCATAAATTACTAATGCAATTTTCCCAAACCCACTGTTAAAAGATAAAATTTGATTTAGTGATTCAAGATTGGAGTCTGTAAAACCGGTATGAACTCTTTTTATGTTTTTAACAAACAAGGCTTGCATCTTTTTAGCATTTTGTATACTAGATATTAACTTTGACAATTAAACGGCCGAATCAATCAAAGTTCAATTGTTTCTGTTAATGTGTTGTAAAGTAAAATTTAAACTGTCCATCATATTTTTAACTTTACTTAAAAATCATAGACAAAATCCTATTTTAATTTTAAAAACAAATTCATACGTTTCGTTGAATCTGTAACATCCAGTTACAACAATTGATTACCCAAGTTATTTTACATATGTATGTACTGACAATCCGCTTAGTGACCAGAGAGTAATCATACGTCTAGACCCATAACCAATTAAAACAGAGAACAAGATTATTATAAATCCTGATACCATAGAAGCTAGTAAGTGCCCTTAGCACGTTAATCTTTATGTGGGAGGAGGAGGACAACCTTAATTTCCCAGATGGTTTAATGTGTCGTTAGTTTGTTGAACACATTGGAGTCGAATACTACTATTCAATAGCTTAGGTACACGCAAAAATCTTTAATGTCAAATCATCTAAACCAGTTTAATTCGTCTGTTTTTATCTAAACAAGATTTTTAAATAAAAACTTTTTAAGCAGTATTTTACTATCAATAGGCAAAAATAAATTAAAAGCCTTAAATAGTTAAATAATCTTTCGTCCATTAACATAATCGTTACGTACTTAGATACGTAAATTAAAGACTTAAATAAGTTTATTATATAGTTGAAATCGGAAGCTTAACAAAAGCTTCACTGTCGCTTTTTTTCCTCCTAAAACTTATTTTTTAATTTATAACCTACCATTATTTTTGACTCGAGTGCGATTGTTAATAATAGAAGCTATTGACATTTGACGGAACTACGGGTTATTATTTGAAATTTAATAGACACTAAAGTTTCACCTATAAAACTTAACTGAACTTATATTGCACGGTACATACCAAGATATTTAAAATTAGAATTAAAAGGCTCACAAAATGTTAATAACTTACCGCTAATAGCTTTGAAGACGCGTGCGTCGCTGCGCGTGCGTCGCGACACTGAGCCACAGCATCCCTTGAGGATAGTGACCTCAGGTTGTGTCGTTAGATTTATATAGAGTTGCGAAACTTGTTGCGAGTCTTTTAAATACATTAATTTTTTTTTATATTACGAACATATATAATGTGACTTAGGCTTGTTTTCGATATCGTAACTGTTTACCTACGACTCTTAGCTTTTTGTATGAAAAATAATGGCTTTCTCCTTAGAAAAATCAACGAGCCGTAGTAATTTCTAATTGTATCTTTAATATAGAAACGGTCCTAAATGGATAATGCTCGAGGTGCGTTTATCTCACTGCCATTATTCTTTAGATTTTTGTTTTTTCTATGATGTTAAAGTGATGAGGAAATATGGAATTAATCACAAAGTTCAAACTCCGTATAATTTAATATTACTATATATATATATATATATAATTACTACAACAATAGATTTAAAAACCAAATACAATACATATGCCACGTTAGAGAATAGTTCCAGGTAAAATCAAGCAATCTTATTCTACCACATTTGGAAAAGAAACATTGATAAAAATAGGATCTGATATTGTGCACAGTACATTTGATTTCCTTAAGATGTAAAAAATATATTTCTTTATTAATAATCCTTAAAACAACGTTATATAGATATTTCGATAAGACAAACAGTGGTGAATGTCGCGTTCACTGACCACTAATGTGGTATTAGCATACAGGTAAAAATTCGCGTCACACACACTCAAACACACATATATCAACATGTGGTTTTTCAATTAGAAATATATTAGAAGTCCTGGTTTGGTTTAATTTATAATTACTCTTATTATTTATAATTAAAGGAGAACCATTTTTAATTTTAGGTTCTGTTTGTTTATGACGCCACTACTGAATAACAAAAAAGTATTTACTAATACATACATAATATGATACTTATGAATCTATTTAAAATGATTCTCATAGTCAACCCACGTTAGGAAGCTAGTACAAGCACATTCATATTGTTTAGATCATAAAACTGCTTCTTAGTAAACAGCTTTTTACATTTCTTAAAGGGCTTAGATTCTTTAGGACTGGTTCGAACTGGAATCTAAGGCACTTTAGCGAAGGCTCCAAGTGAATATTACAATTATATGCCAAGGAATTAAAATATCTGTCTACGTATACATACATATAGTATAATGTTTTTCATTTAACGATTTCAAGTAAATTTTTATTGGGTTCGTCACTTTGCCTCGCAGAAACCGAGAATATTGATTCTGGGTTTCTGCATGGCGAAAGCCATCATATCAGCCATAATTAATTACATTCTTTAATTTAATTAATTGTAAGTATTATACTTTGTTAATATCATTAAATACGGCATTTTAGATATATATTGCCATTATTAAAACTGGCTTAGTGAAGTCAAAGACAAGAAATGATAATATGTATTGTGGCGCATGTATGTATCGTGTCATTATAATAACCGACACAATCTAAAAGTCATTTCACCTAAGCATTGTATTTTTGACAAATAAATGAATTTTAGATTTGCTTGTGACATTTCCCTGGTCAAAAACAATATTGGATTTAATGACGTCATCTATATCAGGCATTTACGCGTGATACAACAGCAGATTTAATGGCACCATAAATCATTTAAACAGCATATTATTGAAGCTGGATGAATTTAGCTACTATATTTGTTAATTTTGACTTTACATTTTACTATATAAAGCTATCGCTTTACACAGAAATACATAGGTGTGAGCTACTTAATATTCTTTCTGCGTTTGTTCAACAAATACACCAGATGATGTCAAGACAGTGTAATTTAATTTAGATTAACCTTATTTTTAATCTACGGCCTATAATAAATAGCTTCAGTACTTAACCTAGATAATTAAGCTTATTAATATGCTATCACAACAATGACACGCAAATAACTCAAAATATGCATATAAAATCATAAAAAAAACAATCAATTTCATTACCATCTTACGGATGATAGTCGAAAGAATGGAGTGCCCCTATTTACGACACTGCTCCGACATCTCCGCAGGGCTTTGTACCTTATAGTTTTTATTTTACTACTTTTTCCTTATTTTTACTAATTATCTAACATAGATCTTAAGAAACTATTGTTACTAACTCACTAATCAATCAATGGACTGTATTTGTCTGATTAATAAAAATTATTATTATTATTATTACATTGAAATACAGCTAGTGTGCAACAGGTTAAATTAGCAGTCTAATCGGTTAAATAAAAATTACCTGATGAATGTTTTTTTTTAAATCTCTTAAATTTTATATATTTTGAGTTATAGATTGCCAACTAATTTCTAACACTATCAAAACAAGACTTATGTTCTCTACTGTTTACATCAGTGCTTTTACGTAATTTATTAATGAAGATTACAGACCCAGTGACATTAGGCAATTCATCGTTGACATTCTTCTTTCTAAACTTATTTATAATGCTATTAAACCCACTCACTAAACCTTTTTTTAAGCCGTTAATATAATCCTTAATACTAAAAACATTTGGGTTTTTATCGTTTAAATTATCTTTATCATACTCAACTTTAACGTGTAATATACTCAAGTAGTTTTTCTTGGTTTCATTTTCAACTGTTGTGTTCGTTGCTTTTGTAGTAGCTAGGTTCAGGGGTTTAGATATTGTATAGTTCGTGATAATGGGTCCTAAAGTTACTGTGTTTGGTAGTTCTTCGATGATTTCCGTTACCTCATATTTGGCTAAAGGTCGCTCTTCGTTTTCGTCGACTGTGTGATTATTGGAGAGAATATCTTGGTATTCATCATTTATGTCATCGAGGTGACAGGCTACAGCAGTGAGGAATAATACCTGTCAACAAATTTCATTTGTTAAAGTCTCACAAAAATAATTGTAAAGATCCAATAAGTATTTTTTTTTAATTTCGGCGAATAAAACAATTCAAATGCGAAATGCAAAACAAAATTAGAAGAATTAAAAGTTATGGTGGAGATCTAAAAGCCACAAGACTTAATTTCTCAAATGCTGCTCTGACCCCTTAAACCCCGGATGCACTTGTATTTCGTCAAACTTCCACGTGATCCAAAAACCCCCCTTTTTCTTCGACCCACCCACAGATGTCCAAGCCTTCAAATTCCGTCAACCAGCCTGCCGTCAGGTTCAGCTAGGGACGATATCAAGCAGCAGGAAGGGATTTCTTTAAGCCTTTGTAGGATGGGACGGGCTTTGATATGGGATGCTACTTGTGTGCACATGTTTGCCCCGTATCACCTCCTAGCTCAGACAAACACAAATGCTGGCGCAGCCGCAGACAATGCGAAAATTAATGAATAACTTTGATTTTGTTTCCTTTGTAGTAGTGACTCTTGGGCCTTGGGTTTAAATGCACCGTCGCTAATGAAAGATTTAAGTTGACACCTGGTAGATTGTACCGATGACCCCAGAGCTGGTGCTTTCCTCGCTCCATAAGTATCACAATACAGCGAGGAAATGCCATAATACATAATACTGCCAGCATTAAAGGTAAACTGCCACAGGGACCAAACAATTTTAAATTAATTTTAGTTTGTATTTTAATTATTATACTATGCAGGTTACAAATATTATAAATCTTTTTTACATATTAACCCCGGGTTTATTTTACTTAGACTATGATAATGACAATTTTAATAAATAAAGTTTGTCCGCAAAATTAATGTGTAATATTTGGTTCACAATTATTAAATATGCCCTGATGCAGTCTGAATAAAGTTTATCAAGCGAAGCGTTATCAGTACTACAGTTGTAAAATTTATGCACGTGTCTTTTGAAGGTACGGGCTTAGGGCTCCCACACAAAACTGCGAATTCGCATCGCATCGCAAATATCTGCGAATTCGCACGAACGCAACGCAAGAATTTCCGATCTGCTTCGCATCGCACATTCCTGCGATTTTACGTCATCCTTGGTGACACCATTTTAGTCCGCTCTGAGACAAACAATTAAAATGTCAATAAATACATTTTGTTTTACTTTACCTGATAGTCAGTCCCAGCATTTCCAAAGGCATAACAGGAATTCTTCCCTTGTACGATAGTTTTTGAAGGCATGGTGATAATATACTCAAAAGGTCTTCAAATGAAGATATGCTCATTCTAAAATAATCAAAAAATTTATCTTCAGTTCTCAACGCATAGTACTTTTGAATAAAATAGTTCCCATCAGAGTTCATAATCGTAAATAATGGATGAACCCAGAATCTTCTTTTTCTTTTATATCTATTTAACAATAACAGCAGTGCAATAATCTTTTTGCGATCCATCTTACGCTTCTTAAAAACACGTTCAGTACGGCTGGCTTCGAAGGAATGGTCGCCCTACCAAACGGTTTGACGCACTAAATCGTATCGCAAAAATTCGCATCGCAGGAACTTGCGATGCGAATTCGCATCGCATCGCATCGCAGTTTTGTGTGGGATCCCTTACTAAAAATGATATTAATTTATAGTGACGTCATCTATGTCTCAGTCTTCAAACTTCAACCTACCAATAAGCTATGTTATTAAATCCAAAACTTTTATTGTCCCTACTCGTATAATATATTCAGACAGAGAAACGAAACTAAAATTTACTAATTTAATAAAGCTTAATTAATTAAAAAAATAAGGCTTTATTGCTATTAAATCATCATATAAAAGTTTATTGAATACCTTCTACATTAAACGAATGATCATTCTCGGAAAAAAAATTAAAAAAATCGCCTCCTCATTCGTTTATAAAATTTTACCTGTGTTGTTCTCGCCTTAACCAAACACAATACGAGTATAAAAGCTAGTATTTTCTTGGCAACGCTATTTATTTGCATAAAGTTTATAAAGAAAAACATTGTCCTGTACACGCCTTAAATACAATAAAAAACATCTAATTGCAATTATTACGTTGGCGCCTGGTAAATAGTACCGGTGAACCCAGAGCTGGTGCTTTCCTCGGTCAACGAATAAGTATCGCAATACAGCGAAGAAATGCTGCCAGCGTTAAAGGTACACTGCCACAGGGTCTAAACTTTTTAAATTTGTTTTAATTTTCTTTTTATTAATTTTTATTATTACTATGTAGGTTATATATATTATTACTATGTACCCTACATACTTGATTGTGATGTTTAATTGCAATTGCATTCTCGAATCTCCACACAACGTTTAGGAAGTTTAATTACGAACGCACATAACTTTTATATATTACTAGCAGACTCGGCCAAGCGTTGCTGTGGCTAAGGTTTTTGTTATATTATAAAGTAGTAAACTATTCAAGGGAAACGGAAGGAGAACACCAGTTATGGGAACCACCATGCTTTTTTGGTGGTTATGCCATTAAATTGTAGCTTATGTGAAACGTTGGTACTTTCAACACACCGCCATCTGTTAGAGTTGTGACTGTCAAATGATAAACAAATAATTTTCAACAAAATAATATTGCGGGCATAAATTAAGATGTAAGCTATCCTATCTTTTAAGTTAGATCAAACTGTACACGGTGGGCAAATTTGATTGAAATCGGTTAAGTAGTTCAGGAGTCCATAGCGGAGAAAAAACGTGACGCGTAATTTATATATATTAAGATTTATACGCTAGAGTAATTACTCGGCACGAAGCCATTTTTATGATAACATATTCAGCGATAAATCTCAGACATCTAGAGTATAAAGGCAGCTAAATCGAGCGAACTTGCGGTATTTCCTTAGTATTGGATGAAGTGAATCGTGTAATTTTGCTTCAATATCAGCGAAGTGTAATGGGCTTGAATCCTCAGTCAGGCGGTGAATAGCAGTCACTTCGAATCGGTTTCATCTTTTCAAAGCTTCAACAGTTTTAGAACTAGCTTATACTTGCGAGTTTACGTAGAAAAAAGCTTTTTAAATATTTTTTTACGATTTCCTGAGGCTCTGTACGGTCACTCATATATATATCGCTCAGTAGTTCGTCCTATACTTGTCCTGGCTCTTATATGATGTGTCATCTTTCTTTTAAAATACATTAAAGGTAAACAATAATTTAATTGATAATAATAGGTAAATAGATACCGCTGGACCGGCATAGTAGAGGATGACCTGCTGCAGCTGAAAGCCAGCAACTTGTAAGAGTTGGCACAGCGCTGGCAGAGCTCGGGAAGTTTCTGCTTTCAGAGGCTGAGAGAAACTGACACTTTTTGGGTCGCAGAGCCAGCGAAAAGTGTGATAATAATAGTTATAAGTGGTGTATTTTTCTTCAATTTACTATTATGCGAATTCAAACAGTACGTTTTAATAATATTAACTGTATAGTTAAAGGACACGATCTTCGCCTTTTTTATTATTTACCTTATATTCTTAGTAATTTATTTTACAAATAAAAAAAGCTATTTATTAAATTTAGTTGAATTCTTTAGCACTGTTTAAATAATAAAAAATCACTTATGTGAAACAGATATTATAATTTATACCGCCAATAAAATTTCAATACTTAACAAATGCGTACGTTATATCATCTTATAAATATGCTTTATTACAGGACTTTTTTAGTTTAATTATTATTAATTAACCGTCTCAATGTCTCTGACCCATTCATTCTACAACTTTTTACAGTACGCAACACTTTTTTTCTGTATTGGAAGATTATGTAATAAATGTTAACAGAGCAAGGCGCATCTATGTTTGCAGACGATATTAAGATTTTAAGATTTTGTATAAGAATATATATATATATATATATATAATTTAGGGGAAAATAATATATTAAAAGGATAAATAGTCAAAAGTACTCGACCGGAGAATAATTGTTTGGAAACGTTTCTGGTGACTAAAGGAAATATTTCAAAACAACACAATACCAATAAAATAAATAACATATGCGTGTTTTTACAAAACTAACAGTTTGAGAGAAGTATGCTAAATATAAAATTACACGACAAAAATACGAAAAAAGACTAAAATAAATAACGTTCAAATAATCAATAACATAAAATAGAACTAGAAACACGTTATAGAAAGCAAAAAAGAGAAATGAACAAAAGATGTATTATTTATCCAAGACAAGGCAAAAGGAAGAAGAGACGTCATGTAAGAAGATGTGCAGATGGTCTGCCGAAGAGATGGAGTAGGTTAGCCCAGGACAGAGCAGCATGGGCTAAAAAAAGGGGAGGTCTTTTTCAGAGGACAACCTGAACATAAAACTGTTTGCTTAAAAAGTTATTAACCGGCCTTTCTTACCAATTATTAGTTATTTGTTTGTAGCCAACGGTCAGAGAATAAAGGCTTATTATGCTTGAATATAGGTAGTTCTTTTTCTAAAACACAAATAGACATGGACAAGTTACAATAATATAACATAAACAAACTTACAAATATAAAGCGCCTGTCCATAGCTATCGCCGAAAACAACTGCCGATTTCAATTTACAAAAAATAGTTTTCGACAAAAAATGCGGGTTTTTATCAACACTATAAATAAAGTTTCACTCCACGATAGGATTCGAAATGTCACAGTTTCGAACCTACATCGGTTTTTATAATTGTCATGAGTCACTTGGAAATCGTTTATACCAATACGTAGTCAAATTCACTGTTCGTGAAGAAATAAATTTGTATGCGATGTATTACTTTGAATTATCGATTTGTTGTGGACTTATCGTCTAATTAATTAAAAACGTGTCTTAACGAATGTATCACGGAAAATATTTTGTAACATTTTAGGACTTACGGCAAATTAAAGTTTAATCACATTTTCCTAATTGCCTGCTTAGCATAAATAGCAAAAACCTTTTAAATTTTTAACTATCTTGCCAATATTATTCTTTGTCATTGCTGTATAAAAAAATTAAGTGTATTATATTTAATATCAATATTTTTTTATACAGCAACCCCAATATTTCTTGGCCTTCTTTAGAGTGTACTTTTTCAGAGGTTAAGGTCAAACCTTTCTACGGCAACAATCTCGCTTTGAAAGAATTTGATTATTATACAATTTTACTACCTTTTAAATTAGCAAGATCTCATAGGCTCCGGTTTGCCAATATTATTTGTATTTTTAAACATGGGAACCAATGACGTAGCTTTAATACATACTATGGTTTGTGTATGTGAATAACACAAACTTATATTATATAAAATATACCAAAAAAACAGTAGCCTGTTATAAAAGGGCGTACAATTAAGTTAAGGGGAGTACAGGCTCTTATCGAAGACTTAAGTTGGCGCCTAGTAGACAGAACCAGCGACTCCAGAAAAATGCTGCCAACACCACACCACCACACCACCACAAGACCCAAACTTTTAAATTGATTTTAGTGTATTTTATTGCTTTAATAATTTGTATGTATCGCTTTGGTAGGTATATTATAAGTTATTAATTTTAGTCATTGAAATTAGTAGGTGTATATTTATATAATCTATAGTAATATTATAAAGAGGAAATATTTCTATGTTACTTACATTACATTTTTGTAACGAATTGGCTCAAAAAGTACTAAACCGATTTTTAAAATTCTTTCACCATTTGAATACTACATTATCACTAATTAATAAAGGCTACTTTAATTGCAAGAAAAAAATAAGGATCTCTACTAAAACTACAATAATGTTACCCAAGGTGGAAAAAAATGCCTATAAAATATCTTTCATCGCATGCGCTGCGAAAACCATTGATGATTGAACAAAAAAAATGTTCCACAATATTAAAAAACATATCAATATCTACAAAAAATGTTTAAAAAAATAAATGTCCACCCGTGCGAAGCCGGGACGGGGCCCTAGTTACATATAAGCTATTAAATAAAATCAAATTTATTTATTTCCCGATGAGTTACATGATCGTTTGTGACGGTCTAAAGGCATGGGCTTTATAGTGATAGTTATTCTTGTATTTTATATACTTGTTATATCAGTTAAATGCAGATAAATATGCCGCAACATAAATTCAGTTCTATTACAAGTAGTAGCATTATGAATTTGTTTCCTTGAAAGTTCAAGTTAAAAGTTATGAGTAACAGATGCAATGTTTCAAGTATGCGGAAGACGGATTTTCCCAAATGATTCACTATCATATCTGTACACTAATAACAAAAGCTCGCAAATGTGTATTTTTGAAAATAATTACTAAATTGGAATGTGCCATAAAACTCTTACTCTAAATCAGTTTCGAAAAACTTGCCCTACACATGCTTTTGTTTATTTTTTGAATATCAAATAGCAAGAAAATATTTATTGCATTTCTTTTAGACTGTTTAAGTTCTTTTAATTTATATTCATCATTATCAATATAGGTAACATCTAATATATAAAATTCTCGTGTCACAGTTTTCGTTGCCATACTCCTCCAAAACGGCTCGACCGATTCTCATGAAATTTTGTGTGCATATTGGGTATGTCTGAGAATCGGACAACATCTATTTTTCATCCCCCTAAATGTTAAGGGTAGTCCACCCCTAAATATTTTTTTATTTTTAGATATTTTTTTCTGTTTTTATTTTTTTATAATACAGCATTAAAAAATACATACAAACCCCTAATTTTCACCCCTCTACGATCAACCCCTATTTTTTGTTTATTATAAATGATATATATGGCAAAACGACGTTTGCCCGGTCAGCTAGTAATGTATATTTACGGACGTCAATAAAAAACATTAATGAAGGGCGTAGAACTGGCAAGAAACTCCACCACTCTTTAATGGCCAAGTTTCTGTTCTACACGATGCTTGAAATGAGCTTATACAGGGGTCATTTTATAATTAATATCATATAAGTACCAATGTTGTCTAAATGAATGAAAATATATTGCATATTTTGACTTATTTACGGGATGCATTGTTTATCGCGTTTATCCCCTAGGTAAACGCGTAGTATATCTAAGATT